ATTTGACACTCGACTGTAGAATTTCTACAAGCTGGTCTGTGTTAACTAGTCTAATAATCTTATCAGTAGTAGATTTTTTAGTGTTAAAGATTTAGATGCGATGTCAATATGTATTTCTGCAGTGTGGAGATACATCTTAATGTATAGAAACATACATATAAGCATTTGACTGTTTCTGTGATTTCTTCCCTGTGTTTTTGTATTTCATCATGATGATTTTCAATGTGACTTTTTTCCACTGTCCTCTGGTTTATCACAGGCAGAATGTGGTCATATGTCCTATTCAGAAATGTTATATTTAATTATTTCTGTTTGTCATTTATTTTGTTTGCACTGAAAATATGAGTATCTTCAGGAAAGGTAACATTATTTAATATGTGAAATGGGCCTAAAAAATACACAAGCAGGTTAATCTCCACTAAAATGAATTCACAGTGAGGAAATATAAGAAAAAGGGGACAGAAAGTGAGAATATATTATTCCAGAATTGTAACAAATCCAGTTTTCTTATAGTTGTGATCAGAAATGCAGATTTGATTCCTTTCGTCCACAGTAATTCTTGAAGCAGATAAACAGTGTGTGTCATGCACTCTTCACTTCCAGTCCTTCCTCTTTTTTCTTCCTTTTCCTCCATTTTGTTTGTGTTAGATTTCCCTTACAGATGATTCAGAACATTCACAAACCACTGAGTATGTTGATCTTCAGAATAAATACATTAATTCTGTCATTTTCTACAGATTATTATACAGTTGGCTGAAGTGAGCTGCTAAAGAAGAACCCCTTTTAGGCAGTGTGCAGCTGTTATACATGTGCTGTACATTTAAATTAAAATATTAATGCATGTTTTATGGAAATTAAACAGATTAGTAATTAATAGGTGCCTAAATTCACAAGAAAAAAAATTGTAAAAGAAGAAAGATAAAGAGAAAGAAATGCATTACACATTAATTTCCCTTTTAAGTCTTCGGCTGTTAAACTGATGTATTTTCCCCAAGTGTGTTTGATGGACTCACGGTCTCAGTGTCCAGGGTGCGCTCTAGCAGCACATCATGTTTTGCAGATATGTACTGAATCACTCCAAATCATTATGTGCTGCCACCGTGAGCCCTGGGATTCCCAGCAACACCCTGGGAGCAGCTCCCACCAAGAACTGTTTTGTCTTCCACACTTGAAGACTGCAGTGACTGCAGTAACTCCTCTTACTGCACCTTGTCGTCTTAAAGGTCAGAGGTGATGCTGTACGTGTTGTCTGTCCACATCTGTGCGTGTGTGAGTTTTCTGCCTTGTGTTGCAGCTCCATCACCATCACTGTGTTTTCCGACACATCAGTTCACTGTAGGTTTGGGTATAGAACAGCAGGACTCTGAGTTTTGTCCAAATTCTGTTTGATAAGTTTGTTTTACTTTATTAAAAAGGGTTTGTAAAAAAAAAAAAAAACATATACAAAGAAAGAATATTTAGTATTAACTGTGATATTGTATTGGTACCACTAATGATTTTTTTTTTTATAATAACAGTTGCATAATTAGAGAGTGTGTGTTAGTGTATGTAATAGGGATGGGACGAGACATGATTTTATTACAGATCACAATTTAAAAAACGAAACAAAAAAACCCCACTTATGTACATGAATCTGATTGTGGTGAATTTCCATTATCGAGATACTTGTGAATATTGTATCCAGCAGGACCCAAAGAGACTGCTGGGCAACCAACATTAAAAGAGACTCTGCCAAAACAGGCTGCATACACACCAACATAAAAATGCAAAAGATCTTAACCAGATATTGGCATATTAATATTTTTAAAATTGTTTCTTTTTCCACAAAAAAAAAAATATCTATGTATCTTACCTGCGATGCAATAAAATGTGTTTCTTAACAAAATCAAACATAAAGTGATTCCAGCATAATTTAGGGCCATTTCAAGAGTTTTACGCATATTTTGATAATTGTGTGGATGATTTCATGAATTGCAACTATTTTAGCAGGATAATCATGACACGGAATTTTCATATTGTCCCATGCCTAGAACAGTACCAGCCCTGTGCCAGTCATTAAAAACTATGAACAAACTGGTCAACTTGCAATCCTTAATTCACTGCACTGTGACAAACACTGCCTAACAAGGCATTTAGTCTGACAGCAAACAATGTATTCTGCCAATGGGCTCAGATCACAGTTATATAGGAACCTCTAATAAACAACAGTATCATAAGACAAAACAGAATAAGGCAAATGACTGCATTAGTATCAAAACAATTCAACTTAATCTGTGAAATTTCTTAAAATAGTGAATTTGTACTGGAAACATAAAATTGTATCTGATTTGGCTGATTCTTTCACTTGTTTCAGAAAACGAGGTAAATAAATGACAGTTGACTGAATGACTTGTTAGGGTGGGCTTTTTTTGTAGAGTGTAGAGTTTGTAGGGTTTTTAAAAAAAAACTACTAACAAACCAAAACAACTTTTTTTTCTCCTCACTAATCTGCTCAGTGTAAAACCAAAAGGTTACATTTATGACAGGGGTTTGAGTGGTGTAATTAGTGACTGGAGTAAAGTGTTAACACCTTAGTTCAGAGTTTCCTTCTCATTAACAGTCATGAAAACTGTTTCACTCTCCCCTCCATAAGCCAAATTTGCTTTAGTGAACTATTAACAATACTGAGAAAATTGATTGACCAAGGTTAAGTCTATTAAATTAAAATTTGTGGAACATCAATCGCATGTTTCTTGTGAATTACAACAGTGTCTGCCAGGGGTCGTATGGTGGGAAACAAGTTGATGTGGAAATGTGTGTGAATGATTCATAAACTGTAATCATGGATTGATAAACTGAGAGCACAGTTCAGGGCAGTTAAGTAAAACTTGTAGAACATGTATCTCGTATTCAGAGGGTGAATTGAATTCCATATTCCATATTTATTAAAAAAACAAAAAACATAATTCAGGATTTAATAGTCACACCTGTTACATGGACGGACAGGCTAATAATTGCCGCCAGAAACACAAATAAAATACAGTAAAATCCTATTTTGTATTAAATAGACTTAACAAAAAAATCGGTCTCAAAATACCTCTGCTGGCCTGAACTGTATCCTCTCATACAAATATATACTTCAGTATGATGACGGGTTTTTTTGTAGGCCAACGCAGAAGTGAGCAGCGCCATGGTTCCCTCGTCAAAATGCTTATGAGATTGTATTTTGGATTATTGCAGAAAGTAAGCTCTGTGGCAAACAAACGTTTATGGTACTTACACGATTTGTTAAGCAAGATAATCTTTACAAATGAACACCACTTTTATAACTTTTTTAGTCTAAATTTAATCGCCTGAAGTTAAAGCTAATGTTAGGCTATAAAGGAATTACAGCATGGTCACATGACTTCACATCGCCAACACAATAACGCTGTAAAGCAATGTTCAATGTGATGACATTCTGTAGTCTCATTTAGCAACTTGTTAGCAACCGCTTTTATTAAGACACGTAGGAGCTTGAAATTGTACGACAGGGGTATTTATTGACATATTTTATGTTGTAGAACTTAATTTGAAAGTCTCTTAAACTTGTGTTAATCTAACATATAACCAAAAACACATTCAAAAATCCTGTTGACTTTGAGACGAGGGAACCAGTAGTAGTAAAATGCTAACTCATTCTGGGATTTTAGGACTCATTCCTGGTGAGTTTATACTGTGATTGGTTCATGGTCACTTTATGCAGCATACACGAAAGGACTCTGTTTTTGTGATACAGATTAATTTAGAGTTTATCTGTTTTTCTGTGGTAATATAAACACTGACTTGGGTGCAGTTGTGACAGTGCTTTATGAGTCCTCATAATTACTACACACCACACTGACCCCAAATGTCTGCTGTCTCTGAATGAGTGTATGCAGAGCATGTTTAACAACCTATGATAATTCCTGTTGTTTTCTATTTGTTTTTTGTTTTGTCCAGCAGGTGGACATGTCAGATCCTTTGTGTACAATGTTGACCACCACACTGTCACCATGAGTGGACTTTCTGTAAATGTTCCCTTCTGTCATCATGAGGTTTCAGAAATGTACCCAAAGTTACAATTACACTTTATCTCTTGACACATGGTAAGTAACATTTCTACAGAAACAGCCCGCTTGAGCTAAAAAAAAAAAAGTGCAGACCCTCTGAACATTAAAAGTGAAAGTGTACTGTATGGATTTATCTTTGTATTTTTGAACATATGATTTTAGGTATTAGTAAAGCCAATGGTTCACACAGACAGCAGTTTCTTTAAATAGAAAACTACATCTTCAAACATGATGAAGACCTGTACATGTTACAAATCTTATTAATTGTCTTTGTTTCACACACACATTATAGCATGAACCTAAAACAATTGAGTTGAAATAAGTTTCTTATCAGAGAATGAATATTGGATACTCAGTGTGTCAGGCTGTAGCAGCACATCATTACTGGTAGTTGTTCTGTGCATTGCCAGTATGATATGTGCTGCTCCTGTCAGACATACACTCCTCTTCATCACCATCTTCTTTCAACACATAAGGCAGTTTCAAAACTTCTATAAAGTGTCAATTATTAGATTAATAAGGCTGACAGTAATATGTTTGTACTATTGAGTATTAATAAAAGCCCTGTGTTTTTTTAAAAAAAAAAAGCAAAGTGTCTACTCCTTTCATGTTTTATATACTTTTTAATACTAAATTAATTAAGGAGCATGAAACAGAGCCAGTAGTGGCCAGCTGCCAAAGCCAGTTTCACTTCAGGATTATTTTTTCTAATTTTGGAGGAGGAATCATCTAAACCTGTTTCCTTAGTTTAAAATACTGTTACACTCAAAGGAAACAGACAATGCAGACTAAACAGAGACTGAAAATCAGCAAAGGGGAATTATCTAAAACTGGAGATGAAAATAAGTGGGAAATATGGTTGTGTGGTTATTTTGATCTCCAGTGGTAGAAAGCAGTTCAAGAAAGTGGCAAACATGAACAAGTCCACAGTACAATTTACAAATTGTTTTTATTAAATCACATGTACATTTTTGACACAGTCACACCCTCCTAAAGGGCATTTATTTAACTACAGTGGTCCACTTCAACGTGGATCTTTGCACACTTTTTTTTGTGCATGTTTTAAAAAACTAACCTATACTATACATTACTGCTGACTTATTTAAAGACATACCATATTATTTGATTATTCCATGTGATTTTCCACATAGCCACTGGTTTCACTTCATTTAAGTTCAAGATGGATGATTTACCAGAGTGATTGATTCGTCATTAAACAACAATGCTGCGTGACAAATATGAATAGTCTATAAATTCTCATTTAGACATAGTGAGGTGTCTAAATAATATCCCACTTTACTTAAATCTCAGCAGATATTACTAGCTTTACTAGGGCTTTCAACTGAATCTTAAGGTCTTCATCAGGGGATGCAATGTACTCATTTGTCACAGGGCTCTTCAGTAAACTAAATGAAGGAATGTACGTTATTTTCTTCTTTCAGATTGTTCTGAAATGAACAGAATCTAATGGCTGCCTCAAAAGTGAAAAATCACAGAAAATATAAAACCACATGCTTTGGAATGAGCTCTGCAGTAATGTCAAGTATACATGATGTTAAATGCTACAATGGGCAAAAACAGAGCCAACACTTTACAGTAAATTGTATATACATTGACAGAAGAAACAAACAAATTACTTGTCATGGCATTTCAGCTTCTAAAATTAAGTTTTGTATGCAAATCTGGTTTAAATATGGGTTTTAGTATTGCTGTTGCTATGAAAATATTGTAGGATAAAAACCAGCAGAACTTTACGTTCAGATAGATGGATTAATCATGATATGAAATCTATGACTATATTTCAAAGTATTTGTGAACATTACAGTTATTATTATAGAGTGTTGCAAGGATGACTTTTTTGTAGCCAAAGCAGAAGTATCACCATGGTTACTTTGTCAAAAAACCTTTGGGATTTTTCCATTGGATTTTACATTATTGCTGAAAACAAGTTCTGTGGCAAACAAAAGTTTATGATACTTAAGCATCTTGTTCGGCAGGATAGTTTTCACATGTGAACACCACTTTTATGATTTTTGAAGCCTACATGCAGTTGCCACGAGTAAAATGGTGTTGTTAGGCTATAAATAAACTACACCACAATGAGGTTGTAAAGCTGTGTTTGATGTCATGACATTCTGTAGTCTCATTTACTCACTTGTTAGCAACCGCCTTTTTAGGACACTAATTTTAAGAGACCCATTTAATGTTTTAGAACAAAATGTGAAAATCTCAAACATTAACCACAGACCTTATTTTAGGCATCTAACCAATACCCATTCAAGAAACCCATTGACTTTAAGACAAGGGAACCAGGAGTACTAAATTGCTAACCACTCTATTTTACGTGGTTATTTCTTAAGTACAGAACCCAACAGCAGTAGTAATGTTGATAACATCTGATCAAATGAAAAACATGTTAATCAGTGAGCTTCAGGGACATTTGTAGGTATATATTTTTTTAGCTTTAGACAGAATCAGGCTAGCCATTTCCCCCTGCTTCCAGCCTTCTTGCAAAGCTAGGCTAACAGCCTTGTACTTAAAGCACAGACATGAAATTGACATTGATCTTCTCATCTAACTCTCAGATATAAAGTGAAAAGCCTATTTTTGAAAACTGTTTTAAAAATCAATGGTCGATATTCCTATTCCTTTAATTTTAAAAACTGGTCCACTTTCAAGCGTTTCCTAAAGTGTTCAACTGTATCTCCCAGTCCTCATTAATGGAAGAAATTTGTTGAACAACTGGGCAAACCTTATCTACTGATTAAGACTAGGATGTGGTTGAAAGCTGAGAAGAAATCTAGTAAGTGGATCTTGAGTTAGGGGTGTTTTTAAAAAAAATTATCATTTTTGATTATTTAAATCGTTGTCATTTAAATATAAACCTCAAACTGACTGTCACCCACATTTATTTTTTACTCAAATGTGTTTCTGGGTCTAAAAAATGTATACTGTACTAATCAAGGTAAGGAGATATGTTATCACAAGATACCAGCTCTTAAAAATAATAAGCAACTACTCTTGTTGGTTATTTAGTTCCACCTTAACTAGAATGAAAGGAGCAGAGTGTAGGATCTGACCCTCTGTGTTCTTGTAACCTCTAACACAGTTTTACTGGCCAAGTTGAGAGGAAGGAAGGAATTTAGACAATTCACATTGAAAATATACTGGAACCAATCACTCAGACAGGATTCCAACATGTCTTTGTCCTTCTAAAAACTCTAATTACTACATCATGTTTGACCTAAACTGAGGTCGTGTCTTGATGGTAGCCTCAGATTCACCAGATTTCATGTTCCAAGTTTCATTTGAACTCAAACCACGATCTTTCCCTAACCCTAACCAAGTGTTTTTTTGTGCCTAAAACCTAACCAAACCTTCAACACAGTATTGTCACACCATAAAACCACAAGACAAGAATTTTTTGAAGCAGCCTGCAAGATTTTCGCAAATCTAGGGTCAGCCACAGCCCTTAACTGAGGCCTAACACCTGCTAATACAATCATTAGCAAAATGGAGTGAGACTGAACATGAAATACAATAAAATGTCACTCTTTACCAGATGTTGAGAGGGGAAAAAAAAGGATTCTTAGATGCATCGTGACTCTCTCTTAAAAGATTATGTCTTGATGCTGAAAAGTCAATAAGTGGAAATTCAAAAGCCAAATTTTCGACATTATGATCGCCTGTAACACTTGTGTAAGACCAGGCTGTATGTTTCTAATGAATACATCAATTATATGGGGAAACAATACAGATGTAAAATATGTGTGTCCTGTTTACATTGTAAGCTATTTTTTTGAGGATACAGACCAACTGGCATGTCCTAGCTAAAAAGTGAAAAAAAAAAAAGTTATATATTCCCAAACAAGGGCAGAGGCATTTTTTTGTTTTTACTAGACCTGTAACATCATCCCAACCACTTGCAGTTGCCATCTTTTTCAGCTCAGCTGCTTGTTCCTCCCCTAAAGACTAACCTGTGGTGGGGCCTGCTGCGCACTACAATACGTATTAAATATTTTTGATGGTATTGAGAATCATACCTTCAGGCTTTCTAAATACCCTGTATCCATAATACCTTGGTATCACCCAAGCCCTGTCCTTTTAGCAATAGGGCTGCATCTTGATGGGGGAGCATAATATCTTGTCGATTTAGCCAAAGTTTCTCTGTCTTTGTTTTCCTGGCTTCTCTTTAAAGAAACACAGGAAGTATGAATGTAAGAACAGTTTCCTTACTGCATACAGTCTTTTAGGAATGTCTGGATGTTTCTACATAGCAAAAGACAATGAGGAAAAGAGGAAATTGTCTAAAATTGCAAATTACTGCTGTTAAATTTTTTTATCCAAACATATTCCTGATAGTGCCAACAAGCAGGCCCGCTGTCAGGGGGGGGACATGCAAAGGTCTGTGGTGGACCCTTAGAGTACAGCAATTTACTTAATGACTTATATCACTGACACTACAAGTTATATGTATTTACAAAATAAATTTATTGTTATTCTATGACAGGCTAAATGTGGCAAAGGTGAGGATCAAGGCAGACTAGAAAATAAAACCTGCTGTGGCGGGCTTAGTTTTAAAGATAGAGTAAAGATACTGATACCTGGAAGGAGCTAAATAATGCTCCAAAGTTAGGCTAAATTTTGGGGAGGGAAAAAGCAGCAATGCCTTTTTGAAATGGTATATTTGAATTTTTATTATAAATATTATCTTGGAATTGCATAAATGAACACATTATAAACACTGAATTTGGCAATGGTAACAGATGAGAAGTGAATTTATATTTTCACTGTTGATTCAATCTTACGGGTTAATCCCTTGCAGTAATTTCATCAATAATTCATTTTAATCTTCTCTGAATCTTTGAGGGCATATTTTTCTCTACTTTTGTTTTGAAGTAAAAGGAAGAATATAACTGTCACAGTCTTATCTGAAAGAAAATCTGTGTTTTGAAATAACTGACGTGATCTTTTGTGCTTTGTAATCATATTGGCAATACAGAACAGAGCATGGTCTTGATGGATCTATAACACTGGTTTTGGAAACGGTTGTTAGAGACTCTGTCTCTTGCACTACAAAACTAATGGCCGAGAGCTTATTTGAAATTGCCTGTGTTGGTATTAGAGCGAAGGGTGGGTAGGGTTGGTGGTGCTGGAGTGAGTGTGAATAAGGGGTCCAGTTTGGAAAATTTTGTCCCCGTATCCATGATTCCTAATGGCTGGCCTGCCAACAACTTGATTCCTTTTTTCATAGTTTCATCCATCATTTGATGTCCATTGGAAGTGAAAGGTCAACGGGAGAGCAGAGGAAGGTCACTGGGATTCATGATGAGGCTTGAGTCCAGGTTCAGGTTATCTACGGAGACACAAAACAACAGCATTTCAATTGCTCCATTAAAGGAGAGGAGTCTGGAGTAAGTCTGGGTTTTGATTAGTGTCAACAAATTCCATTAAAAGACTAAAAATTACAACCTATTAGTCCGTCGCTCAACACTTTCTGACTTCTCTGCCCTGACTATCAGCTCCAAGCACATTAGTGGAGATCAAAATCTTTAAAAACACCTCACAAATAGTTTGAAGGCAAGGCAAATGTTACACACAGTACTTTTACGTGGGTACATACACTGCTGGTTTTGAGCTTCACATGGGATTATTTTGACAAGAACAGAAAACTCTCTTAAAACTTTAAATCATTGGTTTATGTGTGACTAATTCTACTGTATGTTATAGTATATGTTAACATGCACACACCATGAGAATTGAAGCCACTGTCATTTGGTACCAGAAACAGTACTGATGTTCTATACCCAGTCCTACTCAAAATTCCTCCTAAATCAACCCCTCCGTGTAGTGCGTTTTACTACAGCCCGGTCTCATAGAAATATGTGAAATGGACACTAAGTCTTAACAACACATTGCATGGCACGAAATGTGTTAAAAAGATGTGCTGGCAAGATGAAAATAATGCCAATGCAAAGTCTATTATGAATGGTCGCATTTTTGTTGTGAAACAATTAGGGTTGAAAAGACAAAAAAAATACTTCATTAAGTTTAGGAAAAGATCGTGGTTTCTGCAACAACAACTACGCACAGAACACAAGTGATGTAAATTTACATTAAGTCCATAAAGTCATGTAATTATATTCTCTTTTGGTGGTTTCACACAAGACACATAAAGAAGTGTCCTGGTTGAAAGTCCATGTTTGTTTGACCCATCCACCACCCAGCCGCCAAGACTCGACAAATGTTTCTAATTGACCTGGCACTGGCATTATTTCCGTGTTACCAGCCTGTATTTTTAATACATTTCATGTCCATCACCAGGCCTGAGCCGAATACTCGAGCATTCAACACAGATAATGCACTTTTTATGAGTATCATCCGAGTAACGTGTCAATATCCGTACTTGTGATGAAGGAAAACCCTAAATTGGGTAGCTGTGTTCAGTCTCTTAATCCTGTGTGAAAAATCTTCTTATCAACTTCTGATCAACAGTATCAATTTCAGACTTAAACTTGGTGTTCATTTCATGTACAGTACAGGCCAAAAGTTTGGACACACCTTCTCATTCAATGCGTTTTCTTTATTTTCATGACTATTTACATTGTAGATTCTCACTGAAGGCATCAAAACTATGAATGAACACATGTGGAGTTATGTACTTAACAAAAAAAGGTGAAATAACTGAAAACATGTTTTATATTCTAGTTTCTTCAAAATAGCCACCCTTTGCTCTGATTACTGCTTTGCACACTCTTGGCATTCTCTCCATGAGCTTCAAGAGGTAGTCACCTGAAATGGTTTCCACTTCACAGGTGTGCCTTATCAGGGTTAATTAGTGGAATTTCTTGCTTTATCAATGGGGTTGGGACCATCAGTTGTGTTGTGCAGAAGTCAGGTTAATACACAGCCGACAGCCCTATTGGACAACTGTTAAAATTCATATTATGGCAAGAACCAATCAGCTAACTAAAGAAAAACGAGTGGCCATCATTACTTTAAGAAATGAAGGTCAGTCAGTCCGGAAAATTGCAAAAACTTTAAATGTGTCCCCAAGTGGAGTCGCAAAAACCATCAAGCGCTACAACGAAACTGGCACACATGAGGACCGACCCAGGAAAGGAAGACCAAGAGTCACCTCTGCTTCTGAGGATAAGTTCATCCGAGTCACCAGCCTCAGAAATCGCAAGTTAACAGCAGCTCAGATCAGAGACCAGATGAATGCCACACAGAGTTCTAGCAGCAGACCCATCTCTAGAACAACTGTTAAGAGGAGACTGCGCCAATCAGGCCTTCATGGTCAAATAGCTGCTAGGAAACCACTGCTAAGGAGAGGCAACAAGCAGAAGAGATTTGTTTGGGCCAAGAAACACAAGGAATGGACATTAGACCAGTGGAAATCTGTGCTTTGGTCTGATGAGTCCAAATTTGAGATCTTTGGTTCCAACCGCCGTGTCTTTGTGAGACGCAGAAAAGGTGAACGGATGGATTCCACATGCCTGGTTCCCACTGTGAAGCATGGAGGAGGAGGTGTGATGGTGTGGGGGTGTTTTGCTGGTGACACTGTTGGGGATTTATTCAAAATTGAAGGCACACTGAACCAGCATGGCTACCACAGCATCCTGCAGCGACATGCCATCCCATCCGGTTTGCGTTTAGTTGGACGATCATTTATTTTTCAACAGGACAATGACCCCAAACACACCTCCAGGCTGTGTAAGGGCTATTTGACCAAGAAGGAGAGTGATGGAGTGCTGCGGCAGATGACCTGGCCTCCACAGTCACCGGACCTGAACCCAATCGAGATGGTTTGGGGTGAGCTGGACCGCAGAGTGAAGGCAAAGGGGCCAACAAGTGCTAAACACCTCTGGGAACTCCTTCAAGACTGTTGGAAAACCATTTCAGGTGACTACCTCTTGAAGCTCATGGAGAGAATGCCAAGAGTGTGCAAAGCAGTAATCAGAGCAAAGGGTGGCTATTTTGAAGAAACTAGAATATAAAACATGTTTTCAGTTATTTCACCTTTTTTTGTTAAGTACATAACTCCACATGTGTTCATTCATAGTTTTGATACCTTCAGTGAGAATCTACAATGTAAATAGTCATGAAAATAAAGAAAACGCATTGAATGAGAAGGTGTGTCCAAACTTTTAGCCTGTACTGTATTTCTACTGGACTGTAGCGTTTCAGTAGGTGTTGATCAACCTCACCTTGATCAAAGTTATTGAGTTTTTTGGAGTTGGATCCTTCACCCAGTCCCTCGATGTCCACAAGATCACTGTTGACATCTGAGTCGTTGAGAGCACTGAGGGTCACGTCTACACACACACACACACACACACACACACACACACACCAGAAGAGAATTTCAAAAGGGTACTTAGCTGATTTTCAACCAGCTTTGTATCAAAACATTGTGGGCAGTATGTGTACATGAATTGTAGTAAACTTCCCTCCACCTAACCAATGCCTAGACTTCCTTCCTTGCCCCCTGGACAAACTCCGCTGGATGACATAATTAACGTCATCTGGCGGAGTTTTGCTGGCTCTTGGCCTGTTGCTTGAACTACAGGCTGTACTTTAGCATTTTCACATTGCCCGCCACTCATGGCGCCACCACAGACACAAGGTGTATAGAAGCAGGGCAAGAAACAGTTTTTGAAAAAACATTTTATCATTTTTTGGGCTTTTGCCTTTAACTGACAGGACAGTAGACTGGGTGTGAGAAGGGGAGAGAGAGGGGCGACGACGAAGGACACAGCCTTTATACATGCGGTGCCTGCCCTACCCACTGAGCCACTGAAAGCGTTTTTAATGGAAGTATGTGTAAAAAGTATGCATTTTAAAAATAACTAAAATAAAAGTGAGACTCTTCGTCCAGTTTTGTTTTGTTTTTTAATATCATTGATTACGCGTTAAAATAACTGTCCATTTTCATACTATGGTATACCTTAAAACCAGTATACTGTTGCAACCCTAGAGTCTCTACATTAAGGCTAGGTTAAAAATAATCAATTCATCTGATTCAAATCGATCTTCATTGAGATGACCTGATATCGATTCATAAAATCCAAGACTGATCTTTTAATATGCACTTTTTCACACGTATGTGTGCTTTCACCCCATTAATCTCGCTGGTAGAAAACAGGCCACGGCACTAAATTAACAGCCGTAGTACTGAAAAGCTCCAACGTAACCAGTTCTTTTGTTTGTAGCTGATAGCTTACTGTTTTATGTTTGGCTGTAATTTATAATCATGCTGCAGCCACCTCTCTTCATGGTGTCTGTGTGTCTGGGCTGCTGTGCCACTTTTACGCGCACACACACAACTGCTGTGGAGACAGATAAGTGAAGATAACTTGAGCTGATGACAACTACGCTTGTATCTGTAAGTGCAATAAAATCTCCTCAAGGAAAAAGTCATACATGATCAATATACCTGATCAGCAACCTGTAAAGATGTAGAACAGAAACATTTCAATCTGCTCTGTCCACAGTCTCTCATCCACTGCTGCGAACATTATGTTATAAACAGGCACATAGTGTTTTCAAGCTAAAAGCAGATTGTTACTTACAATCTGAAACAACAACTATTTATGTCTAACGGTTTAGCTTAGTTTGCCACGTATCTTAACATTAACCAATGGTAATGTGGCAGTGACTCTCCTCAGCAGCAGAGAGGACAGGAGGACTGATACTGACTGATGTGTGTGTTCTTCATTCTTTCTTAACCTCACTCAGTATTGTGATGTCAGGAATATGATTTATCTTACTGACATTTTAGATTTGTTTCCAGTGAGATATTGAGCTTGTATTGTGACTTTGTTGTTTTAATATTCCTGTTGCTGCTCTAGAAACAACATTTAGTTATAAAATATTCAATTTAAAACCTGTCCTGAATTTATTCTTTTTTAAAATACCCCTTTGTAAACTTTACAGTATTAGCTCTCTGAGAATCTCTTACACATTTTAACAAAAATTCATATTGTAATTAAAATATCCACAATCGAATCAAATCAGGACCTTGTGAATCAAAATCAAATCAATTCAGGAAATCAGTGGCAATACCCAGCCCTACTTTATATCGTTTTATAGGAAAATCCTGCATATAGTATACCTTTAGGAAGTATACGCAAAGTAGTCCTACACTACATGATGCAGAGACATTATTCTGACAGTTAATTTAGAAAAAAAAAAAAAAAAAGAGGTGTTGAGACAAGCTGTACCACAAATTGATTTGATTTGGGCACTGCAAGCTCACAATCTACTGAATTATCTTACATAGTATCTCACACTTTACAGACCTGAGCCAGAGCACAAGCTAGCAGTTAAACAAGTTGAACCAAGTTTAAACTCTGTTCAAGCACAGTTTAGCAAAAATGCATGTGTTTGGGAAGTACTGAGCATCTGACTGGATGAGACTTGTATTATACTGCACATGTTGTGTTTGTAAAGGTATGCTTTGATGTAGTTTTGTTGTTGTTAAATGTGGACCCCTATGACTTTAATTCATAAAGAATTTTCTTCAATTTTGGATTTGAGAAAAAAAGTTTTCCTCACACATTTATCGTAACACAGGGTGAGTAATAGATATACAAATGGTCATTTTTTTACGCAAAGTATTCCTTTAATTACCAGGTTTGAGTGATCTGAATGTTCACAGCAGACTACTTTCATGTTGTGGAGATGAGTATGACATGTAGTAGTAAACATGTTGTTGTCCTGACTCACCTGCAGTCTTCTGTTTCTTCATGCTGGGCTGGCTGGAGGAACCCTGTAGTCCTGACGCCACGACAACCTGAGCCGTTGGTACAGAGATGACGGTTGGAGTGCCCTGCGCTGCCATGGCAACAGTAGCGATGGTTTTCTTGATGACCTTCTTAGGCCCTTCAGAGGCAGTGGGCAGAGCTCCCTCTTCGTACAGCTTCCTCTTCGCTGTGCTCTTCGTCTGACCACTGGAGGGAGGATGGGAACTAAACTGATTTTAGTATTTACATCAAGTTAACAGGAGCATCCACATGGGTTTGGATTCTTTGTAAATCTGCCATGGAAACTGCCACAAAAAAAGGTGTGCACCTGGAGACTTCTCCATCACTATTAATGTGTGTGTGTGTGTGTGTGTGTGTGTGTGTGTGTGTGTTACCCTGCAGGACTGGAGTCTGCCACTGGGTGAAGCTGCATGGTGAGCTCTCCTAGTTTGGTGAATGCAGCCCCAGCTGCAGAGAAGATCTCCCCAACCTGTGGAATACACACATTAAAACGGGACTCTGCACCTGTTGCCAGTTTCATTTTCACACTGACTGTCTGCAGAGAAATATAGACTGGAAATGTATTTCCATGTAATATGTATCATTCAACAGGGAATGGACACAATCACATGAACACATATGCAGTGTGAGAGATGCACAACATGACCATGGCTGTCAGTCATATATGACGGTTGAAAGTTTGATTCTGACAAAGTCAGCAATAATGCTGCTGTAACAGCCTCCACACTTCAACTTTCCTCAGTGAGGAGATGTTTAAGCCTGGCTGCAAGCTCTTTGGTACACACTGGAACGGTTATTTTTCTGTTTCCATTGTGAAAGTTGTGGATGAATGCCAGCTCACTAAAATTAGGTAGAGAAAAAAGTGGATATATTGATATTGGTTATCAGTCAAATGAGTTGTTGCATCAACATATCATACTGGCATAAAATCCATATCGTGCATCCCTAGTGCACATCAGATCATTAGTAACATTGACGGTAAAATAAGAAACCACAATATATCAATATGCGATTCCTAACCTCTCCACATTGACACAGTTTTCAACTTGCCTATAAACTTCAACAGCATAACTGAATTCCTGAAACCCATTTCTGGCTTTTGGTTTTGGTGCCACTCCAAAATTTTCAGTGGCCTCATCTGTCCACTCTATGAAAAACATCTGGGGGCACCACTGGGTCACAGCCAGGTGTTTGTGAAGCTGGTTTTGTGCATTAAAGTTCTGTCGTGATGTATCAGGACCAAACATATAACTGAAAACACTATATTGTCTAGTATCATTGTGTGGTGAAGCACTTCTCTTGATTGGCAGGAGCACCATAGACCAAGCCAGGGAGAAATGTGGACAGTATGTACGCATACTTTTGTGCATGCAGCTTAATGGAAAGTTTGACTGCACACACTTTAGAAGTAATCAGATTAGTGACCAGTTAAGAGCACATCAAAGCTGTTCAGTGGGATAATAAAACTAGAAGCGATACCTACGGAACTGTTCAAAGTATCTGACTTTCCCGAATCCATCTCTCAACACTGTGATGACCTTACAGTCAGTGATACATTTCTCCAGCGAGCAGCAGCGGGAAACATACTGACGGGCTTGTGCGTTTGTGTAAATTCCAATTAGTAGGATACTACTGATACTACTACTAACTGCGGCGGTAAGGCAACGCTACTTCTCACCGGTTCGTGTGTAAAAATGACTTACTTTAGTGGAAGCTGAGGTCATGTTGCTGCTCTCTGTGGTACCATAAACTGTCTATAGTCTGTGTAGGAGAACTCAATGATGCCTTCAAGTGGACGGAACAGCTGCTAAGATGCTAATAGCGTAGCTAGGTAAGTTAGCATTTGGTGCTCCTCGTGATGTAGCACCACAGCTAGAAATTTGCTATTCCACCGCTTTCAGTGTTAGTGCCTGGAGAAGTCCAACAATTGAACAGACTGATGCATACTGCTATTAAAGTTTTATCTGCGGTGGTTTACGTTACCACTAAAGACAAATGGGTTACACTGTGAATACAATGCAAGGCTGGTGCCGCCTTCACCGTCTCCTCGTAATCTCCGAGTTTTCTATGATAGCGCCCCATGTTTGGGGAATTTAGTGTGTACAGGAAGTCACAGAAACACTCACATCCTGTTAGATCTGATGCCGATTTATTAAATGTTATCAGACTCATATGTCAGTTTGTGCTCAGTCTCCAGTGGCTTTAATTATGATAGAGTGACCTATTAAAATGCTTTATAGGCCATCTGTAATTTATGTTCATAGTTCAACCTCCATTGTACATGAATTGTCATGTACATCTGCATCATATCAGTTTGCTGCTCCTGAGCAGACCTTTCCCCTCAACTACATAAATAAACTGAAAACATCAGCATGACAGTCAAACAGAGGAAAGAAACACAAGACAACAGCTTTCATTAAAGATCAGTCAGATATAGTCAGGGCTTCACATCTGTACAGATGTTATTTTAGAAATCCTCGCATCTCACTTACTGCAAGTCTTTGTGTTCGGAAATACTTCAATAATTACAGTCAAATGTTAATATACAATAGACTGCATAGTTTCTGATGAATGTATTTAGTCTCTCTACTAAACGTCACCCTCTGTCACACAACATGTTCTTTTAACAGAATAAAATGTCTGAACGTCAACAAAAATGAAAATGTATCTAAAACATCTCTAAATCATCTATCTTGCAGACAGTGGAGAGCAACTGCAGCGGGTGACTCTAAAAACTGCAGCCTCCTCAATTTCGTGAGAATATTTCTGTCCACTTTTGCATGACCTCAGAGCAGGTCGGGATGAAGTCAGACACAAATCTAACCGGCATGCATTGTGCTGTGATCACTGGGGACTGAATCTATGCAGGCCTGGCTCATCTTGAACAAGCCTATACTACTATACTTTACATTAGTGGGCAGCAGAGGGCTTATGAAGCTTTGGGGTCTGACAGAGAATTAAATTAGAATGTTATAAATAAAGGTAGGTGTAGATTTCAGGGGGGATGTGGGGGACCTGTTCCCTCAAAATTCTTGCATTTGTTCCTTTAAGTGAAAACATGAAGTGGCAAAGGACTATTTTAACAAAATTAAGACATATACACCATAAATTTATACGGAAAAGGCAAGACTTTGTGTATACAAATCCACCAGTATGGAGGAATTTAAGTGTTAGATGCCTAAAAAATTTTGGCATGAGGACAGAACATATTACATGATTCGGTCACATAGCAGGAGTTATGTTGAGTGGATCAGTGAAAAGCCAGTGTATAATGCAGATCAACGGAAGCCAGAACTAAACTCTTGGACTTAATATGCAGTACTAACATGGTAGATATAGATAAATATCAGTTATATATGACAGGTATATTTCATTTTTTGGCTAGTTGTCCTTCGTGTGCATAAATGAGACGTTACATTGTGTAGACAACACTGGGCTTGCCTGTGTTCAGCTCTGGTATTTACCAATTGGTCAGCTGTTCATGAGTAACTTCCTGGTAATAAAAAGGAGAAAATATGATTTAACAGCATAACGAGATCTACCCTGAATGCACCATTTTGTTTCTACAACAGCAGGAAGAACAAAAAGCTTTTGCTCCCTTGGGGAGACAAACCCTTCACGGACAATTTACTTACAACACATTACAGTTATTACAACAATGTGTTTTTAAAACTATACCAAATTAAAAGGCACCATACAGAGTACAGTAAGAGCAACTGAAGAAAGAAAGCAAGGAAGGAATGTGTCATTATCTGTTTTGTTTTCTATGTGGGCTAAAGGTTTTAGTAATCCCGACAGTACTTGAACGCAGCGTCTTGCACGTCATGCCTCGTTCCTGTGGTATCGTTGAAACCATAATAATAATGAATAAATAATTCAATTAATAAATAAACCGTGATTATGAGCAGCCGAAAGGCACCACCACTGGCACTTATATGAAAATAAAAAAACAGTACTTATTTACATTAGTAAAACCAATTCAGCTAAGTTTATAGGAGCACTGTGCTGTTTGTTTGTATATGTACTTAACTGCGACAAATACAAACACAACAAAATAAGCTAATTTAGAATGTTTATCTGGTGTCATCACAAGGTTAGGACTGGGGCTAACCGCTTTGTAATGATGCAGACTCCAAACGCGGAATAAAGTTTTTTTAAATCTGTTCTCGCCATTCTACCGACATTACATGAACGCAGCATCAGCCTGGCCAACGACAAGAAAGTCACGTGTCTAAAGACAGTCAGGACAAGTGATTTTTTTAAAAAAAATATTTACATGCGGAAAATTTGTGTTAAATGTTTATCTATCTAAAAGAGGACACGCTGTTATTGCCTTGAAAAAATAATTGTCAGTTTAACTGGAGCATTTTTATCCTAACGTACTTTTTTGTGTTTGATTTACATATAATTCGGCATATTTAAATTTAATTATTGATTTGACATTTAAGGTAGGCATATATGTAATCTGACGCTTTCTAAACTAACTACTGTGTCTCTGTCAACATGGTCAAACTTCCGGTGTTCAGTCACCTGACCGAACAAGTGACAAAAGTTTGATCAGCAGGTGACCCACCTAAAACCTGGTTAGGCAACCGCCATTAAACTCAAAGAACAAGAAAGTGAGCTTACTTTTACTCAACAGAAGAGAACGGGTAGAAACATGTGTACGTTGATTTGTGGACCAAAACTCGCCGCCTGTGGGATCATATTGAGCACGTGGGGGGTTATAATGTTGGTGAGTGACTTTCTTTGCGTTGCTTTTTTTTTTTTTAATTCTCAGTAATCACATCTTTATTTTCGATAGCTGTAAGTCGAGCTAAAACACGAGCCATTTCCATTTAAACCGTGGACAAAGAAGACGGATCTGCGAACAGCAAACAACAAAACGGTTATTTCAACAGAAACGTTTGGGTTTAATTCAGTTCAAAGGGCTTTTGTTGGTTTGGGAACATTGCACAAGCAAGTGTTATAAAAGTATGAAGAGTAAGTAAAAAATCTACTGGAATCTGGTTTATATACATGTCGCAGCTGATTGGGTTCACCTCTGACACTCCACCTGACGAGAAAAACCTCAAAGCCCGTTACACACCACCTGAGGATAATGTCGTTCAACCCGGACTGTGCCCCAGGTTTCCTTGTAGTGAGTTTTGAGTTTAATTCCTTTTCTCACTATCATATAAATATGGTACATAACTTTATTGTCATTTAAGAAGTTGTAATTTGTGCTGCTGTATTGTCATAATTTAAGTCAGTAAAACCTGTGTGAACTGAATTAGAACAGGTATAAATTAAATTTGGCAAACATGAAACACATTCTTTTTAAGCAAATTGTTTGTTTTTGAGTTGTTGTTATTTTTATTGTAAATATTATAAAAGTCCAGTGTTTTGGATTTAGGGGGATATATCGGCACAAACGGAATATAATATAATAACTATGTTTTCTGTAGTGTATAATTTCCTGAAAATGAGAATTGCTCTTATACTACTGCGTCTTGAATCAAAGCCTTACCTTCAGCAAGGGCTCTGCATAGATGCGTACTCCACACCATGGCCTGATGTGAACCTCTTCAGAAATGTAGCTACACATCGTGTGACACGATGTGTAGCTGAAATGGTAAGCTGAAAACCATTTCCGTCATTGAAAACAAAGCTTTTATTTACTTTTATTTCACAGAAATAAAACAAAAAATGGTGAAGACAATATTGTGGGGCAGCATAACTGACCAATAGTTCAGTTTGGGATAAAAGCACCAAATTCTGTACATATACTGCATAGCTTAACACAGAAAGAAGACATCTGGATATCGGGGTAAAGCAGACTGGCATGACCATGGCGGCAAAATCCAAAATGGCCACCACCCGTAAATGATTTTGGCTATAACTTTTGAAGCAGAGGGGCTACAAATGCAAGCTTGGTCTCTATTTTATGGTTTTTGACCATAACAAACACAATTAAAGGCTTTGTTTTATGATTGGATGCATTAGGACCTCAAATTTGCATATCTCAAAGATGGCAGCTACCTAAAATCCTGGCTTCATATGAGTAGATAAAAACTCCACTAGCCCTTTAGGCTAATTTATACAATGTAAAATGCCATAGGCTTGTGCTCATAACATTAGGATGTTGTATTTGTTTGGAAAACGCCTTAAGCATAAGACAGATGTTTTGTCAGTGAACCTTGTGAGCTGTAATGGAGCCAAATTTTGTAACATTACCTTTGATAAATGTTGCTGTTGTCCCAGGCTTCATATGAGTAGAGGAAATGGCTGCTCGATGCTAGGCTAATTTATACAATGTAAAATGAAGGGGGAAAATAAATTGTGAAGACAATAAAGCCCCCATAAAATAGCATTTTAAGTCTTGTGTTAAGTGGATAAAAACTCCTATAGCCGCTAGGATAATTTATGCAATGTAAAATGTCAAATAGGCTTTTGCTAATAAGGTTTGCATGATGTATTTGTGTGGAATACGTGTCTAGCATACAACAGTTGTTTCTGTTGGTGAAGCTGGTGAGTTGTAATGAAGCCAAATTTTGTAACGTTATACTTTTGTTAAATGTTGATTTTGTCCATGGCTTCATATGAGTAGAGGAAATCTCTGCTAGCAGCTAGGCTAATAATAAAAAATTGCCATTGGCTTGTGCTAATAAGATTATCATGTTGTATTTGTGGGGAATATGTTTCCATTGGCCATGTGTGTAGAATACAGCACAACCATAAATCTGCCTTTAGAATGAGCCATTTATATCTAGCCTATATAGGGAGCGGGTCCTCGTCTATGGCATGAATGTATGTTGCACCGCCATGTTTCTACAGTAGCCCAGAATGGACAAACCAAACGCTGGCTCTAGATGAGGCCATTTGTGTCTTTGGGGTCGGCCACTGGAGTTTGCAGCCCCTGCGCTGGAAAAACACAGATTTTTTTTTTTTTTTTTTTTTTTTTCATTTTTCATTTCTATGTGAAACTGCTTTATTAAGTGTTTTTACCTGTTTAAATCACTGTGTCCATATAGGAAGAGACCTCTGTGGATAATTAAGCTCCCGGTAATATCTCCTGAACAATGACCACTAAAGTAATTCTAATCAGGAAAAGTTTTAGCTGGCTGCAATCTGCAATCCTCACCGCTAGATGGCACTAAATTCCCCCACTCTAGTGACTGCTATCAATGAAAAAAGCCACTAAGAATTTGAGTGGGCTTTTAACTGTGACTCATTCAAAGAAATCCATGCTGAAGTCCAACGATGCATTTTATGATGGTTTATTTGATAAACTGGATAACTAAAGCAAAATGAGATGAAACAAAATATTGCTGATGTGATTTCATGATTATGATGACAGTCAACAGAAAATACTGGAGCCAGCACTCACCCTCTTTGTCTAAAAGCCACCAAGTGAATGAGCAGGTGAAATAATGTGAAACCACACCCACACCTGCTCCAATAACTACCAGAAGTAAAGGTGACCAAAAGAATGTGTACAGCCTAAACAAATAATAAACAGGGGTTAAACACATAATCTGGCTCCTACAAACACTGTTCCTTTGAGGTTTACCCCAGCTTGTATTATTTTCCGTATAATGTTACATACACTGCCTGTATAAACGTTGCACTACACAAAATGTGTTTGGTCAAATTAATTTGATGTAAGAAAATATAAGATACTGTATGAATATATTTTTCATCAGTTACATTTTAGGAATCATTTTAATATTTTTTGCTGGATTGTCTAATTTTGATTAACCTACTTTTATACATATCCAGTTTCAGATTTTTGTAGAATGAGTAAAACCAGTGACATACAATATTCACTCTTTTTTTTTTTTTTTGTCTCAAAATTATAGTTTTAAAAAAGTGGTTTTGATCATGTTTAGTACACGAGGCTTACAGCTTCATAAACCATTTCATGAGAAGTAAATGTGAGCCAATATTTGACATTAGATTAGTATAAATAGATACAGGCTATTTGTTGAAGACTCCTCCTTCTGATTTTTATTTATTTAATAATGTCTTGTGTTCATAAGATAAAGAGCGTCAAATGCTTTTACAAAGCAAACAAAACATACATTTAATTACTTCATAATTTAGTATCTTCAGTTTCAGTTTAACCCACAGCTCGTAACAAAACCGATCAACCCTGCCATTGTTACTGTAGGACCCATGACATACTGTGCCTTTTAGTAACAAGTCTCTGTCTTCATTCTTAGGCCATGCTGGGGATTTTCTTTACCACACATTCAGCTCTGCTGATTGAAGATGTGCCTCTGACCAGTGGAGACTTCAACGAGTAAGGCTTTTACTGTCACACTTCACTCCAGATTTCTGCCTATACAGCTGCACTGTGGCTTGATAGAGTCTCTACATATCAGAGCTAGACCTATTGAAGATATATCAGTATCTGTGTATACGCTGGCTGATAAACAACAAGAAATGTCAGTACAGAAATGCCAAACTGAGTCTGAGGTCATTAAAAAGCAGTGTCTGCATTACGGTGATTGTCCACCAGAGAGCACAGTTTACATTTTGGTCTCAAATCTTAAAAAGGTAAAAGAAATCTAAGGAATCAGTATCAAGCTGATTGTTAATGCTATGTGTTGTTGGGCTATCTTTTTATGAGGTGTTATATTATAGACATATTGGACACATCAGTGTAGAAGCCCTGCTCAGCAATCACAGGCATTGCTGCTGCTATTCAGCAATCACATGCACTCACACACTGATGGCACAGCCTTTTGGAGCGATTTGGGGTTCAGTTTAACCTCTTTGTCACTGTAAAAAAGGGGATGCCAATTATCAATCTTTTATTTTATAGATCATTAATTTTTTGCAAATACACATTTTAATACAACTTGTATTCAGCATTTCTGACAGGTTTTTTGACGTGTTAGTCAGTCTGTCTCCTTTGTACCACATTTTGCTGCAATAAAATGTATTGAAGTCAGATAAACAGACTGAAAACTTTATCTTATGAGATATTATCTTACTGATGTTGGCAAAGTTTTCCTTTGGGGGAATTATTTGCAATCTGGATAAATGTAATAAATCACAATATCTGACAACATATTTTATCGCAATACTCAACATATTGCAATAATAAAATACCGTGACCTAAGTATCATGATAATATCATATCGTCGGTGTTCTGGTACTTGTGCTAGTTTTGGCGGAAAAAGAGTATAACTTGCCCAATAATACTTAGCAACATGCCGACTGGAGGAGCTTGGAATCAAACCACCAATCCTTCGATTAATGCATGATCCGCTCTACCTCCGGAGGCACAGCCAACCTAATAGGCTTTGCATTAGTGATGTCATACAATATGTTAATTAGTGAGCTCTAGAGGTGGAGGTGTTTTCTTGAACTTGCTTGCTGCCCAAGTCCATCTTTTTACTTACCACACACAGATTAATATCGCGCTTCTTCTCTCTATCTCAGAAACTGTTAGCTCACAAGCATATCTCAAAATATCAGAATGCATATATGGCAGCAGTAACAGCTTTAGATGTTAGTAGGTGTTATCTAACTCCTTCAGTTTTTGTATGCTTTAATGATGCTGTGTTCCCCCTCAGTACGAACCCCCCTCAGAAGGTCTTTGATGTGTACGACAGAGTTGGCTACAACTGCTTCATAGCATCTGCTATCTACACCCTCATTGGGGCTTTCTCCTGCTACCAGATGAAGCTCAACAGACAGAAGGTGAAAATGTTTATTTGTTCTTGTTTTTTTTTGTTTGTTTGTTTGTTTTTTTGTTTATTTTAGCTAAATGATATTGGCCGTCTTGGAAAGGCTCAAACCACAGTGAATGACAGAGAGGATCACATACAACATAGGAACACTGGAACTACTTTCTTCTTAAGTAATAATCAGCCCAAAAGTGGGTCACAAGTCCATTCTGAATGGACCGAAAGAGTACAGTGAATTTCCGGCACGGAGTTTTTATTTTGAAGGGCCATTTCCTGCTGTAGAGTGAGTGACTAACAGACAGCTTCTTGGCAGACTTGGCAAACATGCTCAATGACATGGCCAAACACAAGTATGATGCTGAACATATTAAACTGTGTGGACTAGGGATGCATGATATTGTATTTTTTGCAGATATCCGATAAGCCGATATATAAGAACTTATTTGGCAGATAACCAATACTGATATTGATATATTCACTTATTTCCCTACCTAATTTTAGTGATCGTCAAGTCTCTTCTGTAGTGGAATTAACATATTATGCTTGCATACTCTTATCGTGATGGCCCACCAGCAGATGAAGGCATGAAATACAATAGTTTTCAATGTATGTAATATTCATTACTTGTGCAAAATAAGAGAAAGCATGCTGATTCTGATAGTCCATTTTTAAGTTGATATCGGCTGATACCAATGATGGCTCTGTGAAATCTGGACCCCTTGGCTGGACCATTTGGGAACCACTGCCTTAGGGGGTGTTAAGACTATGCAGAATAATGATGAATTTTGGTCAACCAAAAGTTGAGCCAGGTTCAACTTTTATTGCCATTATGATCCTGCGTTTGTTTCATGTTGGTGCTGCCACTGCATCAACGCAGTGGTCTCATTCAGATGTTTGTCCGAACACAACCAATAGACCTTAAAAGTCCTCTTGGACTCAGAGATGAACTGATTAGATTTTGGTATTCAAAGGCCAAGGTCACTGTGACCTTGAGTCTGTCTCATTTTCATTTAGAAATCTCAAGAACACCTTGAGGGAATTTCTTCAAATTTGGCACAAATGTCCACTTGGACTCCACAACAAACTGATTCGATTTTGGTGGTCAGAGGTCACTGTGACTTTGCATCCGTGTCATTCTTGTGAACACAATATCTTAAGAAGGCCTTGAAGGAATACTCTAACTTGGCACAACCACCCACTTGTACTTGAGAATGGCCTGTTATGAATTTGGTGGTGACATTTGGTCAGACACTGAATTGGTAACACTCATCTTGGGTGCTCACCTTGAAACTGTGCTTGAAGATGCGTGTGAAGCATCCATGTTGTAGAATATGAAGCTTCCTTGCAGCAACATCCATATATGAAGCATTTGGAGCATAATTGTAGTTCTTAAAATACCAATAATGGAGCTAAAAATGTCATTCCCCAAGTAAAAGATTGTTAGTTTGAACATTAAATTCCACACTGTGTAATTAGCACCACCATTAGCAGCAACAAAGCATGTGTGAAAGTAGAGTAATTGTAGTGATTATCTTCAATCCATCCCTAATCGGTATAATATATAATGATTAAACTGATCAATGATGTTTGCTGCAGTCTTATTTGTGTACTCATGCATTTTGTTTGACTTGTTGTTTAGGAGTACCTGGTGCACTAGTGCCACCTGCTGGACTGAGGAGCTCCCAGCAGCACTCTGACAGCAAGAGGTTCACCTGTCCTCTGACCACTGTCACCTGTCTCAAGGTTTAAAGTCCTAATCATAAACTAAAGGGAGAAGACTAAACGCTGTGTGACAGCAGGTCAAAGATCAGGCCTTCTGCACCTTTTGTGTATCTAAGATGAGATTAATTCTACCTCTGATTACAAGTGCTGAAATGCAAAAAGTTGTTGTTCCCCAGTGATTGTTCTTGTTAAATTATTTTGTCTTGTCTTGCCCTTTTATACCCATTGCACAAGAGAATGTATTTCTGATTATTGCCAGTATCTATCTGTGTTTTGAATGTTAGTCATTAGATCAAATAATTAATTTCCTTCACCTGTCTATTATTATTAGGAGCAAGGTTCCATTCCATTTCAAACATTCAAAGGTATGTGTTTACTTGATTAGATGGTTTATTTGACACAAGCCTGGATTTTTCACTTTGTCAAAGCTGATGTTGTTTACACAGTTTGTCCTCACACTTCAAACCTGCAAAAGTGCATCTCATCCACAGTTAGTTGGATCATGTCCAAGACTTTTCAGCTTTTCAACACAAACATATATGTTGCTTAAGTACCACAACTTAAAGGGATAGGATCTTTAGAAGTGGGGTTGTATGAGGTACTTATCCACAGAGGAGAAGTTTGGAGAAGCAGGCAGGTGTACAGCCATGGAAGCTAAGTGATGTACTGCTGTGGAGGGGGCAGCTGCAAAATGTTTTTTAACCACCTGAAAGAATCTATATCAGTTTATGTGTACAACATATTTTAAAATATTTTCACCACTTTACCTTCCCACCAGACAGCCCTGTCAGACAGGGAAGCAGTTGATGGCTTTAGTTCCACATGTGTGCTCTCCTCTATAGCCACCAGACTCCTCTGACAAAACCAGTTAATTTAGCTTGCTGAACATAGGCGCTAATTGTCTACCACTGCTTTGTTCACTTAAGTTAGCTTGTGTTTAGTGTGACAGTGGTGAATCCTAACTAACCCTTTTAAACACCAATGTCACATAATAACACAAACTAATTAACTGTTCGAGGCAGAAGTAGACCAGCAGCTCCCATTTGCAGCAGTGTTAAATAACTGTTTTTCTCAATGGAGTCTGGTTGTGAATAGAGCAACAGAACGGTTTCAGTTCCCTGTCAGAAACTGCCATCTGACAGCTAGGTAAAGCGGTGAAAATATTCTAAATATGGCATACACTTAAATTAATATTGATTTTTTTTTTTTCAACTGGTTAAAATACACTTTGTTGCTGACCTCATCCACAGCAGTACTATGTTTAACTTCAGTGTCAGTATTCCAGCCTGCTTCTCCAAACTTGGGGCGTGTTGACCGCCATCTACTGTATGTATTACACTAACCATGGGTAAGTACCTCATTCAACCTCACTTCAAAAATTCCAAACTATCTAACTATAAATGGTAAATGCACACATGAAAATATTGGCGGTATAAAAAAATGAAAAGAGTGCAATGACAAAAAGAATCCACATTTAGTTTCACAGAGTGAGCTTAATTCAATATATGTACTAGCTTTTAGCCATATCTAATGGACATCATCAGTGTTTGGTGGCTGCATAAGGAGGGGGTGGTAACTTCTGTCTCTGTTCAAAGATGGTCTCTGGTGTCAGATGTAAATGTCCTCCTTCTTCAACTTAACTCGGGCCATGACCTTTGACCCATTCCCAGTAGGGATGCACGATAATGTCGGCACATCATTGGTATCAGCCAGGGGTAGGCAACCTGCGGCTCTGGAGCCTTGTGCCTTTTGTCTGTGGCTTTGACAAAAACGATATCACATTATCATTTTTATTTGTTATTGTAGGCCTAAAGAAATTCCTACATTCTCCATTTGTAAAAATGTGTGGTGTATGTACGGAATTAAAAAAGAAAAAAAAAAAGTAACATTTAGTCATGTGCGCCATACGCCTATGGCCTGGCGCCTTTTACTCTTAATTTTGGTGGCTAGTCTTGAGTCTCCCTCGCTAGGCTAGCTATGGATTCCAAATCCATAAAAGTAAAAAAAAGTCTCAGAGGAAAAAATAAATTTAAAAGTGCATGGACAGATTTGTGTGGTTTCACTGCCGGCGCTGCAATATTTAAGTACCAAATAATCATAAATAGCCTACTCCAGAGGAGCCATCTTGTGGTAAGAAATATTTTTGAATGCTCATTTAGACCTATTGTTAATTTCGACTACGCATTACCATAAGACTCAAATATGTTTTGCAGCCCCAGGCAGATTTTTTGATATTTTTGGTCAAAAATGGCTATTGTGATAGTTGAGGTTGCTGACCCCTGGTATCGGCCAATATTAGCTTTAAAATGAGAATCGGCCAATATGCATTTTCTTGATTTGCACAATGAATGAATATTACATACATTGACAAATATTGTATTACATGTCTTGATTTGCTGGTGGGCCATCACGATAAGAGTATGCATGCTTAATATGATGTTAATTCTACTACAGAAGAAACTCGAAGATATATCTGTCAGTCATCGGCCAAATGAGTTGTTATATATTGGCATATCAGATATCGTCAAAAAAATCTAATATCGTGCATCCCTAGTTCCCAGTCAACCACCTGATTGAAGTTTTCAGAACAGAAGCAGTTGTGTCTACAGCATTTCACTCAGAACAGGTATATTTTGTGCCTCCATTATGCTTGCAGTGGTCGATGACTTGTGCCTGGCTTACAATGATCCATTAAAAAAAACTTGGTGTGACAAAAAGATGATGTGACACAATCAAACTGCTTCTGGTTGACATTCCATTAACACTCCTTTACTTAATAAAGACACCTTGGCTTGCATTTTCAATTAAACATGTTATAGAAATCATAAATGGTTTAATATTCACATAAATAAAAAAGTATTTTCCCCTACTTCGGCTTTGTCATGTTTTTTTTTTTTGTTTTGTTTTTTTTTTTGTCAATATTAACAAAAAAATATCATGGTCAAAACAAATGTTAGACGCATCAGGTCTGGACCTCGCTCCACATGTAGTCTGTTAGTCTGTCTATATAGTGATGCTGTTTTCCACGCGGCTAGGCAGGAGGAAAAGGTACTGAAGCTCCAGTCCTTCATTCTGACTCACGATGTTGTCCTCAATCTTCTTCAGTTCCATTCTGAACTTGTCAATCAGCTCCTGGGCCTGCTTCTCAGTGAAGTGATCCTCTGTGTACTTGCCCAAAGGAATCTATGCAGGAAAGAACAGGAAGATACTGAAGAAAGAAGGAACAAGTGCAGGTGGTGCAACATGGTCACTGTCGATTAAGTCAGCGGCTCCAAACTATGGGATTATTGAAATGTCAAACCGCAATAAAACAACTACTATAAATACAACACATATAGTGTATGTTTTAGAAACTTCACAAACATTATGGACGTCAGTGTGAGGGTGGGCGATATATTGATTGTACTCAATGTACTGCAACCTGTTCAGTGTGAGAAGTTTCAAGTGTCCCGTCATTTCTTTTAAGTCCCCAGCATGAGTCTCTCTTTTGCGTTACAGTTCTCTGATTCTCTCCCTCTCACAGACAGAAAGAAAAAAAAAAAGACTCAAAAACATATGTCACACGCACACACCCCAATCAATGGCTTATGCAACAAAAAAACAAAACAAAGTTGGACACACACTGCTTGGCATTGTTTGGAGCTAAAGCTGCCATGGCCGCACCTCAGTGTGCTGATAGCTGATAGCATTAGCAGCACCACCAGTCATCTGCAGCAGGTAAGTCCACTCTTGGAACAGCAGTTTTCATTAGGAAAATAAACTCTGGATTTCTTCTCTTCTGACAGGTAGTTGTCATCCCGGCAGTCACTGCAGACCAGCAGGTTTGCATGCGCAGTGTATGGATAGGAGTGTAAGGACCCATTTGTAGAACAACTAGCCAAAACTTCAGCGCATCCATATCCGACAAAGATAGTCTATGACAGCTGCTCGAAGCGTGGCTCCTCTTTTTTTCAGTACAGGTCATAAATTCACAAACGAACTACCCTTTACAACATTGGCATTTTTCCTCTGTGGGCAGAGGCTCACACTCAGTTTCATGGCCTTGCTGCTGGTTCATCCTCCACTGTCTTCTTTTCCTCTCTCTGTCATCGGCCACTCTTCATCCATTTACTCCGGCCCACATAAATACACGCAGCAGTCAAATTCAAAAGCCTCGTCCACATCATTGAAATCAGGTAAATAATCATCCATGGCACTGAATATCTTTTAGATAACACTAAACTATATTTACTGTAATACTCTGGTTATCATACTCACTCCAGATCTCACACATTTCCACTGTTGTTTTCCTGCAACAAGTGACATCTCATGATATCTCCTGATATTTCAGACTGAGACTTCCGTTCAACAAGATATTAACAAACAGACCGGATCAATTGAAAGGTGAAGAGACAGTTCAGACACTTACAACAACAATTTGTGCCACTCTGTGTCAAAAATAACCACTTTTAATGGACATACAGTGACAATGTTCAGTTGCCCCATGTGCCTCCATTGCAGCTGGTTCCGCAGCTGCTGACCTCTGCCAGCTCCCTCAATACTGGACCAATCTCAAAAATTGTTGTTCACATCAGTCTCTCGACCAATTTACACTGGGAAATAGGGTCCAGGTTGAAAAATGCCTACATTATCTTTTAAAGTTATTAGTACTTTAACTTTACTGTAAAAATAGAGATTTCACAATAGCAATATATATTGTGTACCATGATATAACCTAAAAATATTGAGATACTATTTAGAGGCCATATTGCCCAGCCTTAGTGTCATGTTGTGACCAGCAGCAGTACGTGCAAAGCCAGTGGTAACAAAATTGAAAAGGTGCAGCTAAATGAAAAGGATGAGCTGTGTGGGTTGTCATTTACGGAAGCTTATTGCTGCCACCATGGCACATTTTTCTCTGTTTCTCTTTACTCTCAGATTTAACTCCAGAACTCATCAGCGATGTCAGCTCATCAAAATGTAGAACTTGGAGTCTCCATTAAATGTGACCTATCACCATATAAACCAGACAGAGATGGACTCACTGCGTCTGGTTGTGCTCGCCCCAGATGCCATGTGATAGCCATCTGCACACAGGACTGGCTGACATCAGGAAGGGTGGCCATGATCATCTCCATGGTAACAGCATCCTTGTCTGTTGGTGGGGGGTGTCTCATGGTGCAAGGGGTGTTGGGGACCCAGGCACACCAGTCGAACTGGAAAAACATTAACAGAGAGAGAGAAAGTTAGGGGTGTCTGACACTATAAGATACTGTGGCAGAGGGCACTGTGTGTATTCAGCACCTGTCCGTTGTTAGTAGCAGCGTGCTGGGCTGTACTGGTGAAGATGGCCACTGACAGCAGAATGGAGAGTTCCTCTCTGGTGCTGAGCTTACTGGACAGACCTGAACACACACATACAACACCAAGTATTAGATTCATAAATAATACTGAATTTCATCTGCCGCTGACAGCACTTTAAAGGAATGATTTCCTCTAATGTTTGAAAAAATTAAACATGTTTTATGGTACATAGTGAGACATCACTTTTGCATAAATTTATTAAGTATCTGGTAAAAAAAAAAAAAAAAATTACATTTACATTTTCTTTGAAAACACAGCAGCATACTGATCTTAAAATAAGGTTGAGGATCTTTGTGGGGGAAATCCTGCTTGAACTATGCTTTTAACATGGATGTTAGTATAAATAAGGATAAAAATGCAGCCAGGATATTAATAACTGACCAAAGTTGGGGAGCTCTGTGAAGCCTTCCTGTGTTATGTCTCTGATCCAGGCTTGAAGCTCCAGGTCCTCCTGCACGTCATGGTCTGACTGGTAGTACAGGTTTACAATGCCTGAGACAAAGCTGAAGGAAGATGTATGATTCATTGTTGGAGGCCTTATCAGTGTCCTCAAGCAGAATTCATTCCCTCAAATCAACAGCATTAAGTGAACATACATGCAGGATTTTTACACTTACACAGAAATCCAGAAGAGCATATTATCCAGACCAAGACACCTTGTAATGATCTCTCTATTGACAGTGATGCTCCTAAACATGTAGCCTCCAATTATTTTCAGTAGTAACTGTATCAGGTTGGCCATGGCCTCCCCTGGCCCCCTATTGCTCAGTGTGTTTACTAATCTCTCAGATAGAAATGCAGAATCAAGATCTGCTGAAAGGTTATATTAGTTAATGTTGGCATCAACACAAATAGGTAGCAGCATGTGTACTGACAGGAACTAAGAAACAAGATCACATTTCTCCTGTTTTAGCTTCTCTGCACTGGCTCCCTGTAAAGTCCATAAAATCCTTCTCCTAACGTACAAAGCTCTAAACGGTCAGGCTCTGTCATATCTTGTGAATCTCTATCTGTAAGCTATTGTCATTACTGTCTGCCCTGCTATTGTCATTACTGTCTGCCCTGCATCTCTCTCTGTCTCTGTTTCTCTGTTTCTCTTTATGTCTCATTATGTCATATGGATAACTGCAAATTTATCATGTTGATCTGTTCTGTACGACATCTATTGCACGTCTGTCCGTCCTGGAAGAGGGATCCCTCCTCAGTTGCTCTTCCTGAGGTTTCTACTGTTTCTTTCCCTGTTAAAGGTTTTTAGGGAGTTTTTCCTTATCTGCTGTGAGGGTCATAAGGACAGAGGGATTTCGTATGCTGTAAAGCCCTCTGAGGCAAATTGTGATTTGTGATATTGGGCTTTATAAATAAAACTTATTGATTGGTTGATTGATTGGTTGATTGATTGATTGATTGATTGATTGATTGAGAACTTCAAATTGTTGCATACAGCAGTTTGGAGCTCTGCATGTATTTCTTTACGAGTCTGTGTCATTATTTCCACTCAGCAACTGCAATATATACAATTTCATAAAGAAAGCTAACAGCAACCCTGTATAAAGCTAAGCAGAATGATTAGGCCTTCAGCAAACTCTTACTAGTAAATGATATTTTATTATTGGACTTGCTGCCACTTTTCGCATGGTATTCTCAACTGTATCCCGAAGGTGGTTAACTAAGGAAAATTTTCTTAATAATATCTTTATGCATGTAGACTACAAAATTATGTTGGTTCTGATTTTCATGTGAAAAAAAGCCAAATTATGTCCAGGATAATGTTTACCATTCTCCTCTCTATCTGTTGAAATGTTGGAAAATACACTCAGGTAAATCTTGAATTGTGTCATCATTCACAATTCTATAATAAACCATATACTGTATAGTCATTATGGAATGATTACCAAGTGTAGTGTCCTGCCAGCTGCTAACGTGAGCACAGAGTGTGTTATGCACCTGAATATAGCCTCCCACAACATCAGACTGTGTTCTCTGTAGAAATATTTTGGAAGCCGGGAAACTCCTCTGTCATCGAAGTCATGGCGGGGATTGAGGGAGCGATAGGTCAGCACCTTGTACTCCCTCTGAGCCAGAATCAACAGGCCATCACCACCTGTAGACACAACCTACACACAAACAGGACCATCACCACTTGTAGACACAACCTACACACACACAGGACCATCACCACCTGTAGACACAACCTACACACACAAAGGACCATCACCACTTGTAGACACAACTTACACACACAAAGGACCATCACCACCAGTAAACACAACCGACACAAAAACAGGACGATGGCTACGACCACCATCATCATCAACTGTTTAACACAGTAAGCGTGTTTGTCTTTCACCGATTAATAATGTGGCTGTGATGAAGTGGAGGTCCTAGTGACATTAACAGTCTCTTGCTAAATACATCAAATAAGTTCAAACATTTAAAAAAGTGCCAATGAAATGTGCTGTTCCAGAGTGACACACCCTTTTGAAGATGCCATCAGGTGAGATGAGCTGAGTACGCCCCCTACAGTTTATCTCCAGAGTGTAGCGCAGGTGAGGAGCCAGGAGCTGCAGCAGGAAGACAGAAAACTGCTCAGGGTACACACTGATAAATATTATTAATAAAGGTCTAGAAAACTATTGAGTAGGGATAAATTCAGTGTCATGAGATAACAATAGAGTTAACACAAACACTTTTTCATTCCCTATCATTTCTGGGTTCCTCTGCTTTGCCATTTTTTGATTGTTGCCAAGCTAACATCAATGAAACTCAACACTTCCTGCACATGTTTCAAATTAAAAGCTTGCCAGTAAAGGGATGGATAACGTCCTTTGTGTCAGTGGACATCTTTTAATGTGAAATATCTTTGTGGGAAGTGTTTAGTTTCACTGAAAGTAACTTAAAGGTCCAGTGTGTAGGATTTAGGGGCATCTATTGACAAAAATGGAATATAATATTCATAACTACATAGTTTATAACCACCTAAAAGTGAGAATCATTGCATTTTTGTTACCTTAGAATGAGCCATTTATATCTACATACAGTGCAGGTCAGCTTCCACAGAGACCGCCATGTTGTAAATACAGTAGCCTAGAAGGGACAAATCAAACACTGTCGCGTCTGCCTCCATAGTGCTCCTCCATGCTTGGTACCATACACTGTATAATAAAGATGGATGAAATGACAACTCCCCAAAAGTGAAACCAACACATCTCAATCGGCCCCTGGTAGCTGGCTGCAGTATAGGCCATAAACCCCACCCCCTCTGTGATAGTGAATGGAATATGGGCCAAACTAAAACATGGACTTGCATGGTAAATGCACTACATTTATTGTGTCTTTCTAGTCTTTCACTCAGAGCCTTCCACTTAGAGCACTTTGACACAGCATGACATATTCACACATTTACACACATTCACTGGCGGAAATTTGAGATTAAGTACCTTGCCTCAATACCTCGACTTGTGGGATGGAGGAGCCAGGAATTGAACCGCCAATCTTCCGATTAGTTGACAAAACTTTCAATGAAAATTAAGTGCTCATCAAGTAAATTTTTCACAAAGCTGGTTTCTGTCATTTTAGGTATAGTTCTTATCACGCTGCTGTATGTTCAAGTATTTATTTTTCTAATAAGTTTGGTTATAATTAGTTGCTGTAAAAATGAGGTTTGATGTTATGATTGACAGCTGTGTATGCCAATCAAGTGCTCACCATCAATGGCACTGCTCATTATTGCTTGGACAGCAGGAAGGTGGTACCACGGAAATGACTACTGTGCAGACTCTGGCTCCAAATGATGTCACCGACGCAAGATGGCTGTGGCGATATCTGGGATATTTTGGCTTCATTAATGTACAGTGAGAGGAAGTGAAGATGCAGTATCCATCTTTATTTTGTCATTGCTTGGCACACGGAACAGGTTTCAGTTGGTTGCAATCTGCAGCCTAGCTGTTAGATGCAACTTAATCCTACACACTGGACCTTTAACAGCAACCAAGAAAATGACAAAATGGAACAATATTTGTGCTAAATAGAGAAAGTGTTTCTAGCAGAGTAGTTGGTATGTAGAGTATGAGTCATATGTACTTGTCTCTGCTCTTGCACTGAGAGAATTAGTGCCATGGAAATGTATGAATTTATTAAGACAACAGATGAATGGGGAAAAAATGTTGAGTTTGTCTGGAGAACAGGGGGAATTAGAAGTCAGCTTGCACTTGCATCAAGTAAAGGTCTGGTTCTTACAATGAGTTCACTTGACCCCCCCCAAAAAAGGGAAAAAAGTGTTCTGTTATTATATCTGGTTACTTAAGAAAAATGAGAATTCACAAGATTATTCTCTTAAATTCTGAAAAACATGAATTTAAGATATTATCTCTTTAATTCAGAAAAAAATAGAATTTGAGATCATTATCTCGTTAATTCAGAAAAATTAGCATTCACAAGATTTTTTTTTAATTCATAAAAATGTGAATTTGAGAGATTATTATCTTGTTAATTCAGAAAAGCAAGAATTCACGATTTTATTCTCTTTAATTAAAAAACAAGAATTTCAGAGATTATTATTTCTTTAATTTACAAAAATTAGAATTATAGAGATTATCATCTCTTAAATTCAGAAAAACAAGAATTTTTGAGATAATTATCTTGTTAATTAAAAAAACAGTTTTGAGAAAGTTTTGAGAAATTATCTGCTTACTTCAGAAAAACAAGAATTCACAAGATTATTCTCTTTAATTCAGAAAAGTATGAATTTGAGATAACTAACTCGTTAATTCGGAAAAATGACAATTTTGAAGACAAGTATCTCATTAATTCAGAAAAACAGAAGCAGATTGTTTTTAATGAAAACATTAGGCTTCATTCCATGGGTTCTCTCTGCATTAAAGGGCACTTTCACATCTGCCCTGTTTTGTTCAGTTCAATTGAATTCAATTTTATTTGCCCCTAAAGTGCGGTTCGTTTGTACAGGTGTGAACACAGCAATTGCTGGGCATTCAGGTGGGCACCAAACAAAGCAATTGTAACAAAGCAAGCGACCTAAGTTAAGCAAGTAAATTAAGGCCCCAGCCACTATGTGAAAACTAGTATGTTAGTTTTACAATGACACATAAAGTAAATTAACAATTACTCTACTTTGTGGCCAGAATTGTATCAGACATGGATTAAATCTTCTAACAGAAAACTACAGATGTGAATAACATGACTGACCTTATATATAGGGTGCACAGCAGGCAGCTGTCTCAGAGTAGCCACACAAAACACCTCTACCACTAGGTGAGTCCTGAGCAGGTGAGACAGCAGCTGGAACACCTGGAATTCAGAGTGACGCACCCACATCTTAGCCAACAGCCAGGCCAGGGGTGGGTCTTTGGGGAGGAATATGGGAGTGTCCTTGTCTGGATTCTGCTCAAGCTGAGGACAAGGAGAGGAAACTGTTACAAGCAGTTCTGTCCCACTGTAGGGAACGGAACCTAAACTTTACATATCGAGGTCTGGGAGGTCCCAGCTTCGTTTCCATGGTAGTGTAGTACCTGCAACATTTGAAACAGTTTATAAAGTGGCCACTATGCAGCCTTTCTGTGGTGTTCATTCACTATTACCAGCATCCATTTAGTAGTGTCAGATGTTTATATTCAGCGTTGTCAAGTTTATGTACAGTATTTGCAGGTTTTCATTACGTTATCCCAGATTTTTAGGTTTCTTTGTTTTTCAGGTTTCATTCAGTATTCTTGCATTCCTGTTAAATATCATCAGGTTTTTACAAAAATGGTCTCAAATTTACATTTAGTAGTCTTTGATTTTTATAAGATTTTCACATTTACTTTTCAGTATTCTAAGATTTTGTGTGAGTTTTTCACAGATTTACTTTCAGTATTCTAAGTTTTTGTATAGGATTTTCATGGGTTTACATTTTTCTTTAAGTGGGTTTGCTTGTTTCAGTTTTGATTTTATCTGTAATAATGGGTAAATACATTTAAAGAAGAAAGTTATTACAACACAAACACACAACACTTTAGTCATGTCTCAAACGTATGCACCAATGCCTCCTCATGTTTGTTATGCTGACAAAACTGACAGTCTAAAACTAAAGACATATTTTATTTTTATATTACTAAGTGCAGAGTATTGCTTTTTTTATTTACTTTTTAATTTGTTTTAGTTAGTTTAGTTAACTAATATGTTTTTTCACACCTAGTTTTATTTTTTATTATTTTATTTAACTATAATCTTGCTTCATTTACTACATACTATATCAGGCTTCATGGGATGTGTGCAAATGACATTGCAACAGTTTTTTTTGTGTTTTTTTTTTTTTTCAAACCAAATATTTAATATTCATGAAAAAAAAATAACAATATTTACGATATCATTTCAGATTTCATTTTTTTTCCTGTCATGCCATGTTGCAAAATTGTTGCTGTCTGCAGGCAGAGGGCAACATCGCACTCCCTGCATTTCCATGGTGTGTCGTTTCGCTGGCCTTGGCTTTGGCAATGCTCACACCTCCTGTGACCTTGAGTGACTCGCACATTGGGGCCTGGTGCATCGACATTAGAGATAGGCACTAGACAATGACCTGCAGGTGCCCGGGCAGGAGCTGTGTGGACAGGCTTGCCACAGAGCTCAGCAGTCAGCTCCTTCATGAAAGCTCTGTATGTCATGAATTTTTTGTTTTCCTGTGAAGGATGAAGCTGTTGGTGATGGCGATGTCCAGAAAATGATAAAACAGGCTTCTGTACCAACGCTTGGTTTTATGTTGTGCAGAGTCACTCCCCTGTCACTGGTGTGGGACAGGGGATTGATACCTTCGTCCAGGAGCCATCTTGTCGTTTTACCTTCCTCTGCACACTTATAACAGAGTGTGCTGTGTGAATTGTGGAGCAGACTGATACTTTCCCTCCATCCATTTCACATTGACAGTGGGGCTGTTCCGGATCCATCTTATGCAGCCTCTTTGTGATTTCTTTGTGAGAGTGTTCGTATCTGTCCGGGGGCAGCACTTGCAATTGTCTCTATACGTCCCACAGGCAGCAAATCTGCGCTCATGCACAGCCCTGAAGAGCTTGGGGCCAGAATAAAAACTGTCCATATAAATGTGGTAACCTGTGCCGAGGCAACCTGGTTTTGCTTTCATATTACGGGTCATCCCAGATTTAGCCTTGGAGGTGACCATTCTCTCATCCACAGTCAGGATTCTGTGGAGCTGATAAAATGACTTGAACACAGTCTTGATGGTGTCCACGCGCCTACACGTCGCTGCGACACAGACCTGCTGTCTATTTTTGTAAGCTGAAAACCATTTCCCTCAGTGGAAACAAAGCTTTTGTTTACTTTTATTTCACAGATATACATTCCTGGGGGCTTGGTTGTTCCTAAACACACATTACTTCCGCCTTTTCTGATTACAACAGAAGCCTGTGGGAATGTCGTAACTCTCTCTTTCAAGGACTCAGAAGTGCAAAGTCTACAGATTCCATCATTTCAGCCATATTTCTGCATTGTACATTATCGCAAAGGTATTTAGAAACATCAAGTAAATATCAAGTAAACAGGTACTACAAGTTGATTACAGGTACTACAGGTTTAATTGAATATAATATGCATCTGTGCATGCATATCAGTGACATGTTGAGTTTGATCAGTATTTCAGTACAGGTCTATGGGTACCATGGGTGTGAATGATTTACCTGTATAGCAATAGGAATGAGTCCGTCATCTGGGTGTTGGTACAGGAGACAGAGTGGAGCAGCAATGTGCTGAATTTTCCCCCTGATTGTATTGGCGGGAATCCCATCCATGACAGCATAGTCCAACAGGTAGATATTCCCTGCCTGGACATGATAATGTGGACATAGAGAGCAGAGGGATTGAGGCATAACTGACACAGTTTATTCCTGGTGTCACATTAAAGCCTGTGAAGACTATAGAGACAGATATTGAGCATTTGTCCACCTTGATTTCTTTGTTCAGGTTGGTCCTGGGAGCCATGGAGCTCTGCACCATGTTAGGTGTGACAGGAAAGTTCTCTGGCAGCTTCTTGCACCTCTGAATCATTCTTGGGTTAGAGCCATTCATACACTGGTAGCCAAAAAACCAGTCCTCCTTCCAGTGCTCCATACAGTACTCTGAGTCAAACACACACACGCAGTGCATGAGAAATTAACCCCAGGGGTTGCTGTAAGATACAAGTGTACGGTACTTGATCATCAAGTACAATAAGGCTGTGTCAACAAAGATAACCATTGAGCCACTCCACCTCCTATGAAGCTTTGATGCAGCATCTATGTTTATGACTCATATGACAGATTTCAAGAGAGTGGTGACAGATACCCTCTTTGGGAAAACACATTGTGCAATGGAGGCTCTTGGCAGAAGCTAGTTTAGCTAACTGCTAGCCTCAGGGGCGGACTGGGACTAAAAAACAGCCCTGGGCTTTGACTCGGCCCAGCCCACAACAACCGGTGTGCATACGGTATGCACTTCCTTCTTCTTCAATTTGATTGGCGGCTGGCCGGCTCATAGATATCTATGGGCCGGCTGGCATCCAATTTAAAGGCTGCCACCTAGCGGAATGGACATGGAACAGTAGATTATCAGGGAGAAAAAGGAGAAAAACAAAACAAACAAACAAAAAAAACAAACGGTGATGACTGCGTGGTGGCCGCCGGCCATCCTGGAGTACCGGTAGTTCTGTGATTCTCCAGAACCTCCAGATGACCAGTCTGCCCCTGGCTAGCCTAATCTGTTTGTCTGAAAGTCTAAAACATCTTGGAGTGTCAAAATGTGCAACTGGTTCTCAAAGGATCAACATATTTGCTGTTAATGAACAGCCATCAAGCAGGATTAGAGGCTGAGCCAGCTAACTTTGGCCCACCTGAACCATTATTGTAGTAACATAAAAAAGCTCCACCAGATGGCAGGAGCTACATTTCACTGCATGTAAACTGTCCAAGTCACTGAATACTCTACAACAAGTTCCTGGAAATATTTCACAATAAAAGTCTTTTTAGAAAATGAAGGGACTCTCTCAACCGAAATAATAAGGGGCTTTAACTTTTAAACACATACAGGAAGCGTTGAGTTTGAAATGATGGCACGATGCATTAAATTCAACAGGGCAAATGGGAGCAATTTAAAAACAAAAATAGAAAAATGCAGAGGTAATAAGAAATAAAGGCCTGTGTCTGGAACTAAAGGCCTGTTTCTAATGTAGACTGTTTCAAATGAAGCTGGTACCCTCTGCATTTGTGGTTTATCCTCCATTATGAAGAAACAACATTATCTGCTGGCTTAATGCTAATGGCAGTACTCACTGGGTTGCTAAAGGGCCTCTGCTGTTAATATTTCCCTTTTTATTCTGTTGTGATAACATCCATTAAGGAAATATCAAAAAGGCTAGGGGGTTATTGCCATACAGTTGTCACTTGCAGCAGATAGCTCTGTGTTTCTATTGGTCAAAGTGATGGCTGTGACAGGAGAAGTTGTGGAAGACAAAAAGAAAATCAAACATGCTAGACTTTCTATCGGGACGTCATGAGGCATCCCAGACATGGTGTTAGTTATTGTCTTCTTTGACCCACTACACGGGATAAAAAATTGGAATATTGCATACCAAACTCATTGTCGTTTCCAATCGAGTCGACATCATATGACACTGCATCAGGCTATGATCAGGCTGATATCGTATAGTCTGAACCTGGCATTAGGCTGTCATCATCAGCTCATGTCAGCAATGATGTAATCTCTCAAGACAGATTCTGCAATCTACATTGTAGCAACACAAAACTGCTTTGCTAGCTCAATCATGTTGTAACTAAGATATTCGCTGGAAAAAATATTTTATTCACGGACCGTTTATTGAGTTATTACCTTTTATAGTCTATGGTTATAGACAACGCTAACGACTAACGTTAACAGCTAACGGTTAGCCCAGCTAATCTATGATAACCATATTAATTACGTGCACACAGAAATAGTAATGTTTGTTCAGTCATTGTGTTTATAGACTTAACAAACATCAGATTAGTCTACACGGTGATATAGTGACGTGAAAAATGTGATATATAGCTAAACTCTGCTGGTTTTCTACCTGAAGTATTTGTAAACAACACGGCGATTCCCTGGGGGCAGAGAATAAAGTCATGCTCTCTCTGTGTGTTGTTACCTAAGCTTGTCTGTTTGTGTTTGTGGTAGATGGTCCTGCCACTCATTAATGTTGGTGCATGTGAGTCCCTGTGGGTGTGTCTCACGGGCTAGCTAATTGTCCTCTGCTACGGCGATCACTGCTAATTTTGGGCGGTGGAGTGGAAGCATAGTGCCCACCCTTTAGTTTCCCGCAAGGTTAACAGTGTTAGCTTTGTCAGCACTGTTATCATTGTCAGCTCTGTTTATGGAGTTAACACTGTTTGCAGCTAGCCGCTGGCTCAGCCACCTCCATGTTGAGAACCATATTTATTTAGGCACTCTAAATCTTCCATATAATTAATGTGTACATACTGTATAAGGCCTATATGTTAGTGTATATCAAACACATCTATTAGAAATGTAGTGTGCAACAGGAAACTGCTGAGTCTTTAGTTTATAGTCATTTTCTCCATCAGGATTTGGGAGGAGTCTGTAGTGCGCATTTACCCACCAGCTATGGGGCTTCGAAGCCTCCAAAAGATCCGTTTGAAATCATCCAGGTCACACCAGGATTTCCCAAACCTGATGGCCATCTTCTTCAGAGACAACTCCAGCAAGCTGATGAGAAGAAAGGGAGCATTTATACTTATGTTCATCAAGTTGTTGGGAAACGTATCTGATTAGACAATACATTAAACTCACCTCTCAATAGGGACCAAAAAATCTTTGTGAGGACCAATTACAGTTTGTGAGGACATTGTAATTGGTTCTCATTACTAGATTTGAAGGTTCAGACTTGGTTTCAAGGTCAAACTTAGAGTTAAGTTTAGGTTCGAATGTATTGTGTCAGTTCAGATCCTCACAACTATAGAAAGACAAACACATGTGTATGCACCACCCACGCATATTGTAGGGAATGTTCAAAGTCGCTCCTCTTTTCATTGTCAAAGCGGACGTCTTGGGGTAAATCTGCTTCGGTTTTTGCGTCGATACATCTGGGGATTCCTGGAGCCCACGTTACCCATCTGAAAGACAAAAATGCACAATATGATTCAAGTATTAGCACATAAAAATCTATATCTGTATCTTTGTGCTGTCATGTGTGTCGGACCTGTAAGTTGTCTTTCTCTCCTGCAGCTCCGTCTTCCTGTGTGCCAGCAGCTGAGGTGAGGAGTCGTCCCTCACTGTCTTCGCTACAGATGCAGAAAGAGGGGAGAGACAGAAACATGCACCTTTAGAAACAGTTAAGACCTACAGGGGCTCCTGCCCACTGCCCCACAGAGAGGAGGATGTTGATCTGAATCTAGATTATGACATCCTATCCACAGGCCTTTGCATTTGCATCTGGTATTAATAAGCGTTACCTCTATTCTGCCCGCATGGTGATTGTATCTCAATATGCAAATGTTAGGTGGGGTTAGCCATCTTGCCAACAACAATGGCACTTTCCAAGTTCCAGGGAAGCAATGCCACTGACAGGTGTCACACAGTAAAGATAAAGGGAGATGTGCTTTTGTGTATATGTATCTTGTTGCTGTAAAGAATATTTGACTTTGCATGTTTTGTTTTTTTTAGTGTGATTTTGTTCATTTTGTTGTGGTGCATTTATTGCATGTTTGAATTGTATTTAGGGGACATTGCTGTTGAGTGTTTCAAATGTATTTTTGGCGCTTTAAGCATCACTAGTTGAGTGCCATCTAGTTCCATTATATTGGAGAGAAGGCAGACATCTCTACGGCCAATATCTCCAACAATCAGCAACTCACACCAAAACTATCTAGACTGATAAACAGCACAACAGGTAAAAGGAAAAATAAAGTGGCAAGCAAAAGTTTAAGCACTCTGGTCAAATTTTTGTTTACTGTGAAAAGTTAAGTAAGTAGAAGATAAAATTGATCTGCAAAAGGCATGAAGTTAAAGATGAAACATGCTTTTCAGTCAATCAATCAATCAACATTTTCAACATTTTAAGCAAATTTAGTGTATTAGATTTGTTTTGTATAATCTTAGAGCTAACAAAAGGAAAGGAGCACCATGCAAAAGTTTGGGCACCCCCAGACATTTGAGCTCTCAGACAACTTTTGCCTGGGTCTCAGACCATCATTAGCTTGTTAGGGCTCTGGCTTGTTCACAATCATCATTAGGAAAGGCCAGATGATGCAAATTTCAGAGCTTTAAAATACTCTGACTCCTAAAACCTTGTCCCAAGAATCAGCAGCCATGGACTCCTGTAAACAGCTGCTTAGCACTAAAAATTAAAATAACTGATGCCCACAAAGCAGGAAAGGGCCATAAGAAGATAGCAAAGTATTTTCAGGTAGCTGTTTCCTCAGTTTGTGATGTAATTAAGAAATGGCAGTAAACAGAAACTGTGGGAGTCAATTTGAGGTCTGGAAGACCAAGAAAACTTCCAAGAGAGCTGCTGATAGGATTGTTAGAAAGGCAAATCAAAACCCTGTCTGACTGCAAAAGACCTGCAGGAATATTTATCAGACTCTGGAGTGGTGGTGCACTGTTCTACTGTGCAGCAACACCTGTACATATATGACCTTTATGGAAAAGTCATCAGAAGAAAACCTTTCCGGTGTCCTCACAACAAAAATCAGCATCAGAAGTCTGCAAAGGAACATCTAAACAAGCCTGATGGTTTTTGGAAACAAGTTCTGTGGTCAGATGAAGTTAAAATAGAACATTTTGGACACAATGAGCAAAATGATGTTTGGAGAAAAATAAGTGCAGAATTTCATTAAAAGAACACCTGTCCAACGCTAAACACAGGGGTGGATCGACCATGCTTTGGGTTTTGTGTTGCAGCCAGTGGCATGGGAAACATTTCACAGGTAGAGGGAAGAATGGATTCAGTTAAATTCCAGCAAATTCTGGAGGCAAACATCACACCTCGAAATCCACAATGGATGACCTCAAGAGGAGCAAGCTGAAGGTTTTGCCATGGCCCTCACAGTCCCCCGACCTAAAACATCATTTAATATCTGTGGATAGACCTCAACAGAGCAGTGCATTCAAGAAGACCCAAGAATCTCACAGAGTTAAAAGCCTTTTGCAGGAAGAATGAGTGAAAATCCCCCAAACAAGAAATGAAAGACTCTTATACAAAAAGCATTTAGAAGTTGTGATACTTGCCAAAGGGGTCACTACCAAGTACTGAACATGCAGGGTGCCCAAACTTGCTTCAGGCCCTTTTCATTTTTATTTTGAAACTATAAAAGATTGAAATTAAAAGGTAATCTTGCTTAAAATATTGAAGAAAGTATAAGTTCATCTTCTACTTACTTACTATTTACTTTAAAAAAAACTTTGATCAGGGGTGCCCAAACTTTTGCATGCATGTTTTTGATTTGGGGGTAAACTGTCCCTTTAACCATAGCTTATTAGCCAATGGTAATTTTTCCAAACACATTACAAAACTTTGTCCTGCCCTTGTTCCAAAATTAGGATCAGTCACAATTTGATGCTACAATGGATACTCTGCCTGCACTACTCCACCCACCTCAGGCTGCTTCAAAGCAGGTTAGGTTGGACAAAAGATAATAAAACCGATGGCGCACACATCAGGATTTGCATTACACTGTGGCAGCACAAAAATAAAACCCAGTTTTTGATTCTCAGCCATCAAGAGAAATTTGACCCTGCATCCCATTGGTGCAGTTTAAGAGCTGCTGCTCTCTACCACTGACCAGCTGCAGTGGATCAGTTTGGTTAGCAGCCAACCTCAACAGTACCTTTAAAGCTAGCGATAAAGAGTTGATTTTGAATGTCTTAAATCTTTCTTACCTGTTCCCTCTCTTATCTCTACCTTGATGTCGCCTATAAGCCAGCGGTAACAAGGGAAAGTCAGCACTGTGCCTCCACCTGGAGGTTCCACTGTGACATAGCGACAGAACCAGTTATCTTCCAACCAGTATCTCTGTTTTTCCAGTCTGACCAGTTGAATGGGGCCTAAATGTGAAGAGCTGGTCACCTTGTACTGATCCACCTGATGGAGATGAAGGAATGGTGAAGGAGAAAGTGGAAAAAAGTCAAATCATACCAGCTTAAACAAACATAAGTACACTTATCCTCACTGTTCCACACACACTTACTGCTCCGCGACAGAAGTCTAGTCCAGGATTGTCCAGCAGGGTGCGTTCACTCTCCCCCTTCTCCCCCACCAGGGTCACAAAGATGTAGTTGTTGGTGCCTGAATACTCCGATGTACCAGTTGCTACTGTCACAGTGTAGACTTCCATCTAAACATGAACACACACAGCCTGCTGATAACCAAGAGTTCAACTGACAACATGTTGGTACTACAGATGGATTGATGCTGTTGATGGGTAACATTTTGTTGCACGTCTCACAAAAGGTTTCCAGCTCAGTGTCAACAGTTTGTGTTCGTCCTGTTTCAGTGTGACACTGCCCCCATGCACATAACCAGCTTCATAAGGAAACCGTTTTCTCACCCTTTGACCTCAACCCATGGGTGGATTTTATGTCAATGAGCCTGTGGGCACTGATATGCAAAAAGCCCTACCACCTCTCCTACACAGAAACAAGAAACACAGGTTTGTGGTGGTTTTGCCTCCTTTTTGTTGTCATTTTGTGTCTCTTTGAGGTTCTTTTATGTAGTTTTTTGGTTGTTTTATATCTGTTTGTATTCAATTTGTGTCTCTTTGTGGTTGTTATTCCTCTTTTTGTTGTTATTGTGTGTCTCTTTGTAGTCATTGTGTCTCTTTGAGGTCCTTTTGTGTAATTTTTTGGTTGTTTTGTCTGTCTTTGTTGTCAGTATGTGTCTCTTTTTAGTTGCCTGCCCCTTTTGTTTTTATTTTGTGTCTATTTGAAGGCATCTTGTCTCTTTGAGGTCCTTTTGTGTAGTTTTTTGTTTGTTTTGTTGTTGTTTTGTGTCTCTTTGTGGTCAAGCTTTGTCTCTTTGTGGTTGTTTTGGACCTTTTTGTTCTTATTTTGTGTCTCTTTGTAGTTCCTTTTCATATTTTTGTGGTTATTTTGAGTGTCTTCCTGGCCAGCATTTGATCATTTGAGTGACATTTTGCATGTCAAGAGGGCCCCTGACACTTTGGGCCCCTGGGTCTGTGCCTTATAGGTTCAATAATGCATCCATGCCTCAACACCGTGGGGATGAACTGGAACATCCACTGTGAGACTTTATTACCCCGTATTGAACATTCTGGTGTGTGGCCTTACCTAGACTTCCCTCCATGACCTCGCAAAGCCTGTTATCAGCTGACTCTGATAACTCTGGGGCTTACCAAGATCAACATGTCAGCAGAGCAGCATTAGCACTCAATAGGATGATCATGTTGATATGTCTGAGGAAGCCCAAATACTTTTACAGGCGAAATTTTGAGTTTAGATGATACTCGTCTTAAACACCCCACATAAATGTGTGGTTTTTACAGTTGAAGCGACTGCATATAGGTATTACACTGGCCATCATGTCATAGGAGTCAATAGGAGTCTTCATCAAAAATAAATAAACTGTAGCTGTCACATACTGTGTGCTGATGTGAGTCGACTTCCTGGACATATTTGAATGTCATTTCTGTGGTAAACAAATGTGTAAACCACACTGACGCAAATGAACTGATAAAACAACAGATTAGAGCTCTGATGTGACAAGCCACATTTTGCAGGATGTGACTAAGACTTGCTGTTGGAATCATGAGATGTCCATGTGTTTATGTTACTGCAGCACAGTAGCTTCTTCTCCAAGCGCTGACCTCATGAGTAAAAAAAAAATCACTGATGTGAATATAATATTAGAATTGACAAACCACATAAACACATTGACAGGAGTAAATTTCCAACGGCTGTAACCATGTAAATGCATGCATCCATGCATTGTCCCTTTTTGCCAACTAGAATGAAAAGTCAGTCAGCAGTCTTTTGGCTTATGAATAAACTTTCCACAACACCTTGGGTAAGTCTGTGAATCCATTTGGGAGTTATACTCTTTGGCCGGTTGGCAGAATCACATGTAAACCTTCACACATACACACACTTGACCCCTTAGCCAAATTTCCCTAGGAAAAAAACTGTGGCCACCAAAGGGTGGAGACATTTTTGGGGAATGACAGACCAACAGAATGAGCTATAGAGCTGCTGATCACAGCTAATAAACTAAGTGCATGAATTCATTACTCAAACTGATTAAGTGAAAAAGGGGGGAAAAAAAACTGGAGGACTCTTTAGTCAAGGTGTGTTGTCTGTCAGGGAACCCAAAGACTGAGACTTTGAGTGCTAAAATGCTCACTCATTTCTGGGTTAGGACTCATACATATATATATATATATATATATGCATTATTGAAGGCCACATTGGCTTTGTCACATGATTGACACGACACTGCTTGGCCCCGTGAATGAAACATTTACATTTAAAAAATACTTGGATGGAACTGTTGACAGTTACTGGAGTAAGGAATTTTCGTACCATCGGAGTACTTGAAGCCTGAAATAGCACTTCAACACAAAGCATTTAGCAGTGAATCTGGAGGTCTGAGCTAGCGAAGCCTCTGATGCAATTGCTAGCAGCCAGCCTCATCAAGCCACACCAGGCATTCAGACACAAACTGAGTAAGTCTACCTGTGACCGACTAACTAACTCCCTTGCAAAATGGATTGCAATGGACTGCAGACCAGTTTCGGTGGTAGAGGACAGCGGGACAATTGTGTCCAAAATCCAGCAGCTTTACTACACACTACATCACTACAATTAATTTGAACTGAATTTTTAAAAATACTTTTACAGCAAAATTTGATGTATGCAATTAAGTTAGATCAATTGATAATAGAGCATGTAATTAATGAGATAACTTTTTTAATGGCTTAACAGCACTACATATACATATATGAAAAATGTGGTGCTAGTGGATGTGGAAAGGTCTGCAAACTTGGATCAAAACAAGCTTTTGGCAATGTGATAGCATGCCATAGTGTGTTATATGAATCGAACGTTAATTCAGTAAGGGAGCAGGCTGATCTAAACCTACAACTGAACCCTCATTCAGTGTTTTCCCTGCCCCCTGCACTTGTGAGTACACAAGAAAGTTAATTTTAGTTCAGTGGAATATGTGTCACATTTTTGCATGAAACGTGATGCATTGCATTGAGCAGTTGTCAAAGTAGTATACATACATTAAGGACCAACTTTTTTTTGTTGTGAAATTTTTTAGGGAACATAATATAGCATAAATTTCACATTCAGAATTCAGACACTTAAAAAAAATGGCAGACAGTCTCTGTAAAGCACTATAAAGTGAAAACAGGTGGTGCGTTCAAGACAGAGCCTCAGAGAGAGGGCACACAGACAGGCTTTCATTGTACATAGACTAATAAAGATATTGAAAATCAGCATAATTTACAAATTAAATGAGATATCTACAATATATGTAAATATATATTTGTGAATTTGAAGTAGTAACTTTGGTTGCTCCTGTGTTGAGCCAATACCATGGGTTTACCAAATACAGTGATGAAACCTGTGTGTTTCCATAGCAGTGTCGGCAAAAGTAGTACACACAAGAGTCTATAAGCATATATGGAGTATGGAAATGCTTAGAATTGAATACTGAAATAATATCTCACCATCATTCCAATATTCGTTCTGAAAGCCCACATCAGTTGATGTGGGCTTTCAGAACTTTTTTAACAAACTGTTGATGCAGCATGAGCATTCAAGTAAACAATCACAGTCAACTATACATGATAGTATTAAACCTCCATGGGTTGTCAGAAGCCTAAAAAAACCCAGCATAAATACACTTACCTTAGTCCACAATGGTGTTCACAGCTGTATCAGTCCCCTCCTCTTATTTTCCTCTTGATTCTTTTAGGCTCTGTTTGTATTCTGGCACTTCCCTCTTTTTGCCTTTACCCTCTCTATCCTATTTCTTCTCTTTGTCTCTAGTAAAATTCCTCACAGATCTGTAAGTTCAACAGTTTTCTGGTAGGCATGACATTTCTAAATGCAGAAATCCTCCTCTGTGTCTCTGGCCAGTGAGAAATTTCTCAGCAGCAGTTTCTTCAACACATTCACTCACTCACTCACTCTTACCTCACCGCTCTGCTGACTCTCTGCTCTCACACTCCACTACCCTCAGTCAGTCCTTTGTTTAGTCTCACCTTGCTCTACAACACAGAGAGAGAGAGAGAGAGAGAGAGAGAGAGAGAGAGAGAGAGAGAGAGAGAGCTGCAAAAGGGAAGTTGGGTTCATATGTGGGCTGCATAGATGAGGCTGTCAGATAGCACCCACATTACAGAGCAGCATACCAACAAAAGCTGTAAAAACTTCACATTCAACAACTTAAAGGGATCCTTCACCTGCAAAGTTACCAGTTGTACGATTACTTGTCGCATATTACATTTAACTTGTGAAAAAAAAGAAAAAAAATTCCTTGCATGGCTCCACGATGAACGAAGAATCCAAAAAAGGCAAACATACTTTTTAAATTGTCAAACAGTCTCATGCATGGCCGAGAAGCGCGCCTGGGCATGTTCATGCATCTGAGCATTGCGCATGCCCAGGCGCATGCAGCTCAGGTACTTGTGTGTGTGTGTGTGTGTGTGTGTGTGTGGGGGGGGGGGTTATATCTTATGTTTAAGCAACAAAACAACTGGATAAATGAGACTTGAATTATGCTGCATGAGTTGTGTGAGAGTATTTAAAAGAAAGTTTTGATATAGTTTTGCTGTTGTTAAACATGGACCCCGTTTAATTTAATTCATTAAGAATGTTCACCTTTTTTGGATCTGCTGTTCACCATGGAGGCATGCAAGAGGACTAAATCTAAAATTAATACTACTTAAACAATCTCATTCGGCATAAAAAGTGCCACAAATAAAATAAGAAAAATGAAGGAAGTTTTACGGAAAACAAAGTGCAGGGCTCAGATTTGGAAGAGGGAAGCAGTGCAAGCCTTTTGCAGACTGGTAACACTAACGACGCAAAGAGCATCGAAAGTCCCTCCATTTCAAACATTATAAAGGCCATACGATCCTTCAAGCAAGACTTTCAAACTGAAATGGACAGTGTATTATCAGCAATTAAAAACATTCAAACTGACATTAAAGATAGCAGTGGGCGTATCGCCGAGGCTGAATAATGCATATCCACCACCAAAGACGACATCAACACACTGCAAGGTGTTATTACAAGATTGGAAAAAAAGGTAAAACTTCTCGCCACCAAAGTGCATGACCTGGAGTGTAGAAGGTGGTGCAACAATGTGCATATACTTGGCATACCAGAGAAAGAAGGTTTTGACCCCCGCTATTTCATGGTTGGTTTCAGGTGACAGCTGTTTCCCTTGCAACTTTAGTAGCTTCCTCTGGCAACTAACTGTGAGAATTGGATTGCACCAGTACAGGTATGACCATAACAGGTGACTTATTTTTTTCCTCTTCTCCCTGAGTAATGTCAGTGTCAGCACCGGTCATGGCACTGGTAACTGCACTGGCTGGAAAATGTTTAGCTGTGTTACCCACATGGTCTTCAGCTAAATCATTTTCAAGGATCATGTCAGCCATTTCAACTGGAAACTTAGCCCAAACACCAACTGCCACTTAAGATACCAAACCTCAAACCAGCTGTATTTTGTGAAATGGAACTAAGGTGGGAACCAAACCCATCCCTTGGACAACAGTGTCTCCAGTACCACTACCACCAGAAAAGCACTCAGACATTGGCGCCACACAGTCAAACGGTTCCCCCAAAGAGGGATCCAACTTTTGTGCCTCCATCAGTTCTGCATGGGACACACACAAGAGGTCAGCAGGTAAAGACAAAGCAAATTTGACATTGTCTTTGTGTACATCAGATTTCACTTTCCTAACAGAGGCAGTCATGGAGTGTGTCACTGCGCAAACTGAAGATACTATCTGATTTGGTGCTTCAAATACCTGATGCTTTTCAGCAGATGCCACTTTGGGCATCCTTGGCTGCTCATCAGGCCATATACGTGCTTCAGCTACATCATTGCCTAGGTTAACATCAACCCCCTCAACAGGCAACTCTGGCCACACCCCAACCCCAGTGCCAATCGTGCAGTATTTTAACAGCAACTTCATCACTGCCGGCTAGAGATACAAACCCCTTAGAAATATACCAAGATCAGACCATACCTTACCAACATTATCTCTAACACGTATCTACATGCAGTCATTTTCTCATCAATATCCTACTGTCTCCCAATCTGGTCCCTCACCACAAAAGAAACTACTGAACCAATAGCCAGACTGTACAATAGAGTTTATAAGATCCATGGCAAATTTTCCCTCTGGACCATTGTACTGCACTTTCAAATTTGAATGCAATCACCTTTCAGAACTACACAAATAATCAGGCTATTAAATTTTATCATTGGATACAAAACAATAACACGTCTCTAGCACTCGCTGATCTGGTTCCAAGACACAACATAGGACAGGAACGCATCACTAGATCAGTCTCCCAAGCACATATCCCAGCACCAGCTTATAAAAATAGCTATGGTCAGAGATTATTTTTTCACGCATATACCAAACTCTGGAATGAGATCCCATATCATATTAGAACAATAACCTCTGTTGTACATTTTAAACGGACATACAAACACTGCCTGATGGAAAGATACACTTGCAATCACTAACTCAACCTATAATTTGTGTGCACTTCATATAAGTCCATGCCTCTCTATATGTTCATGTTGCTGTTTGCTTTTGTTTTTTGTTAGATGTCACTGTCTTTGTGATGTGTTTCTGTCTTTATGTGCTGCAGAACAGGAACCTGCTGTAAACCAGTTTTAACTAAGTCAGGCCTGATTAATTGTGACTGATCTTTATTATGTTACTTTTAATCTTTTCCTGTAAAAATAAAATGAAATGAAATGGTGCATAAACTGCTGCAATCTCTGCTGTATCCAAAGTTTAAAGGGATAGTGCACCCAAAAAATTCAGCCATTATCTACTCACCCATATACTGAGGGAGGCTCTGGTGAAGTTTTAGAGTCCTCACAACACTTACGGAGATCCGAGGGGGGAGTGGGTAGCAGCAGAGCTGCACACCTAATGGCCGACCCAGATTAAAACTTCCAAGAACACAGAATTGAAACCACAAAATATCTCCATACTGCTCGTCCGTAGTGATCCAAGTGTCCTGAAGCCCCAACATAAAAAGTTGTCTGGAAAAACATCATTTGAACTCTGTTTTTAGCCTCACTGTAGCCTGTAGCTGTAATTGCCTCTGTGTACACTGCGCTGGCATGTGTGCGCTTGCATAAGACCGTGAGACATGGGCACTGCCTTCATGTGTGGTCATGTGCTTTCGCTGGTTTCGCACGCAATCGTGAACATGTGAGCATGGTCCACAGAGAGCTAATCAGCCAATCATGTGGCAGCAACTCAGTGCATTTAGGCATGTAGACATGGCCAAGACAACCTGCTAAAGGTCAAACCGAGCATCAAAGTGGGGAAGATTTAAGTGACTTTGAACGGCATGGTGGCATGGTTGTTGGTGCCAGATGGACTGGTCTGAGTATTTCAGAAACTGCTGATCTACTGGGATTTTCACACACAACCATCTCTAGGGTTTACAGAGGTTGGTCCTAATAAGAGATAATATCCAGTGAGTTGCAGTTCTCTGGGTGAAAATGCCTTGTTGATGCCAGAGGTCATAGGAGAATGGCCAGACTGGTTCAAGATGATAGAAAGGCAACAGTAACTCAAATAACCACTCGTTACAACCAAGGTCTGCAGAAGACCATCTCTGAACAAACAAAGTGTCGAACCTTTAAGCAGATGGCTCCAGCAGCAGAAGACCACACCACGTGCCACTCCTGTCAGCTAACAACAGGAAACTGAGGCTACAATTCACACGGGATCACCAAAACTGGACAACAGAAGAATGGAAAAACATTGCCTGGTCTGATGAGTCTGGATTTCTGCTGCGACATTCAGATGGTGGGAGCAGAATTTGGCATAAACAACATGAAAGCATGGATCCATCCTGCCTTGTATGAACAGTTCAGGTTGCTGGTGGTGGTGTAATGGTGTGGGGGATATTTTCTTGGCACACTTTGGGCTTCGTTTAAATGCCACAAACTGCAGCCACTGCTTGATGCTTTCATGTCAATATTGACCAAAATCTCTGAGGAATGTTTGCAGCACCTTGAATCTATGCCATGAAGACTTCAGGCAGTTCTGAAGACAAAACGGGGTCCAACCCGGTACTAGCAAGGTGTATCTAATAAAGTGACTGGTGAGTGTATATGTATATATGTATATATAGAGGTGATGGGTCATTTGGGGCATGTTGAGTAAAAAGCCCTATCTGCTGGCAGCAGAAAAAAATTGTGACAGTGGGGTAAAATCTGTATTTTACAGAATGGGAATTATTGCAGTGTATTTTACTTTTCAGTTTTAACAGATTTAGTTACACTAAAACCATCTGAGGAAAGTAACATTGTGTTAACAATAAGCTTCCATACATATTAGCTCAACAGGATCTTCAAAATTCAAAAATTTGCTACCTATTATTTTTATTTATGAACAGGTGGGAGCAGGTTTAAATACTGAACTAGACTCAAAATCCCCTGAGCTATATTAAAAGAAGCAAATATTTTAATCAAAATAAATTGTCATATCTCACCAAATTACAGTTGGTAATATGAGAAGCTGGGTTACATCACCACATCCTCCAGATGATGATGTAATCAGCCCTGAAACCCACAAAGCTCTGTTGTAACCCTAAAGACTGATTTCAACTTGTGCATGTCTCTTTCCATCACTCAGCGTGAAAAATGGGTTGATCAGGTTCACAACTGCAGGGGCAGAGGTGGGACCAAATCATTGTTTTGCAAGTTGCAAATAAGTCTTTGCACTCAAGTCCCAATTTAAGTACTAAGTCAAGGCAGATAAGTCCTGAGTCAAGTCTGACAAGTCCCAAGTCAAGTCTTAAGGCCTAAACTTTGAGTTTCGAGTCCTACACAAGTCATAATGAGCTCTTTACTAAATGTAATGCCATTTTAACAACACAGTAATAATTTATTAGATTTACAAAAATCATGAATGCCTTTAAAATTTTTATTTGTGTGACT